CTGCCGTTGTGAAACGCCAGCCAGCTTTTGCTCCAAGTGTGTGTGTGTGCGTGTTTGTGTGTGTGCGTGCGCGCTGGAACCACACACACACACACACACACACACACACACACACACACACACACACACACACACACACACAAGCGCAAATTTAAATGGCAAGTCATCAAATCGGACTGAAAAGTGCCGACAAGCCAAATGGGATTTTGAAACCTCCATTATTTGCAATTAAATGCATTTTCACAAGACTACCTTCCGGTTTGCATGATGGATGAATGACAAAATCTGACTTTATACTGTATCAATGTGAGAGGCAATTTGTGTTATGGTCCACTCTGCTGAAGGCAGCATAAGAAGGCCGATTTCCTGACACATCTACTCTCATTTCCTCTGGCCGTCAGAGGGAGAGTCATGTCGGTGTACAGCAATCACATCTTTATCTAGCGACTTGATCTGAGCCCCCCAGGAAGGAGCTGCCAACATAATTGCCACATTTAAATGTTATTGGTCAAACGGGGGCTCGGTTTTTTTCAGTGGTGGGGAGCTAAGAGGTCTTTTCAGCCTCTGGCGGAGATGAGAAAGGATGAGGCCCACTGAACACACACAAGGATTGCTTCCTCGAAATCAACAAGAAAAACACCAAAGTTCAACAGGATTTCTTCCGGAATTAAATTATCACCATCTGAAATTTTTTTCAGTGGAGTCAAAAAAAAAAAACACTTCTCGGCTGCCATACAACGTGTACCGAGTCTTTATTATATCTTGTTGTTATCAATAGTGAAAACCATTTGTATTTTTGTCATTTTAGCAAGAAAAAGAAAATTCATTTTGCTTCAGCAGGCCTCCTAAAATGATATGGTGGGCCAGATCTGGCTCCCGGGCCTTGATTTTGAAACCTGTGCTTTAGGACAAACAACCATTCACGCTTATGAGCGAATACCAATTCCAGGTATCGGAAGCCAGCTAATACCAGCCTTATCTTAATTTATCAGGTACTCATGGAGGCTGCTGATACCAGCCACGGATCCTTCAGGTAAGAGTACGTTCTCCTTGGAAGTAGTCGACGCGGTGCTGTGCTGTTTGACAAATCGGCGAACCATCTCTGCATCAGAAAGAAAGCTTTTGTTCACAAGTTTTGGTCATTTTGCGAAATAAAAGTTGAGATTCCAAAAGTCGCCAAGGTATCAGTACTCAGTATCGGTGAGTCCTCAAAGAGTGAATCGTCACGCTGATATCGGTCTGGAAAAAAAAGTGGCATCCCTAATTTGATGCTCATTACTGAACCTAAAAAAAAAAAACATGACTTTGGAATGGAAGGACTCCCAACCACAGAAATATGATCGGATGTACAAAACACTCGTTGATTGTGCCAAATTGTGGTATATATTTAATAAAGACAAGCAAAAGTGTATTATATGAATGTAAGTGCCATGTAATTGGCCAATTGGCTGGCAACCAGTTCTTGCCTGAGGTCAGGTGGAGTAGACTCCTGCTCCCCTGAGAAAGGATAAGCGCAAAAAAACCCCCAAAAAAAAGGTGTATGCATGTTTACCGTCAAATACGGTACCATTTTGTGTATGCATCACCAAAGAGCCAAAAAGAAAAACAAAACAACGACAGTGATGATCCAATACGAATTCTTTGGACACTCACTGAGCTGCACCCAAAGCAACAAGACACAAAACGACAGAGAGCAGCAGTCATTATGCCCAAATGAAGTTTGGAAATTCCCACTTGGAGTGTCGAAGGCCCCTTTTGCTGACACATGAAAAGAAAGCTCATTTACAGTCAGAGAAACTTTTCTTCCCACACAGCAACAGCTGCTTGTGCCTGTGAGTCAGCCTCTGCGGGCGCTTCATGAGCAGGTGAGTGCCGTGGTGGGTCAGAGAAGGTCGGCTCCGAGCCCCGAGGCCAACCTGCGAGTCCACCTGCATGCAGACAATTCATCTAAAACAAAGCAGTCAGCAGTACGCTGCAAAACTGACAGAGGAATCTTCTCATCGCTTCAACTGGGACTTGATGAAGCTTTGTTGAATTGGCTAGTTTAGATTTGCCCTCAATAGCAATTATTCATCATTCTTCAAACGGGAAATTACCAGTATTGCACTTTTATGAAAACATACAATTAACCCCCCTGCCCCCACCCCTCCATCGCAAGCATGTTTGAACGTATTTGCAAATACATTCGAACATATTAGCAAATATGAGTACATTTGAACATACTTGCAAATACACTTGAATGTCCTGGTGGGCTAAATGCTAAAAACATCGCATTTTTGCCCCATAATGCCACCAAGTATTGCGGAAGTGCAAGTTAAAAAAAAAATGCAATTTTTTTCTTGCATTTGGACTTCATTATAGCAATATGTGCGTTTGAAAATTAAATAAGTGAATATTGTTTCATAGTAATTATGATGGTTTTATTATTATTTCCATTTGGCATTTTTTCCCCCATAATGCAATGGGATACGCGCATATGCAAGTCCACATCTCGTGCCGTTGTGGTGTTTCGTCTTCAAACACGTTCATACGTATTTGCAAATACGTTCAAACTAGTTTTCCAGTCAGAAATGTTTACTTGACAGCTCCACGCTTCCATACGCAATTACGACAGTTTGTGCATCAAGAGGGTCATGCTTTAAGATCCTGCTCCTTCCGGTGTGCAGGCCTTGGCCACCAAGGGGGGCCTATAAAACATACGGATATAATGCACTGAAGTCATGCTAATTCAACCTTTTGCTCACAAAAAAATGTTGAGAGCATTTGTGGCCAAATTTCCAACTACAGCGTAATCCACATTTGAAAAAATGAAATATTGAATCGGATCGAGAAGGTACCAGCACCACTTGGACAAGTGGAGATACACCAGCATGACAAATGTACACTTCACGATTCAGCCATAAACCAGTGACATAAATTTAAAATATGTGCTTGGGCTGCAAGTAAAAAAAAAAAAGAAAAGAAAAAAAATCTATTCCTCCAAAATGGCTTCAACTACAATTGAGGATTAGCACGGAAATACTGTAATAATGGGGAAGCGTCGCCACGCATTATGAAATCCAGAAAGTACAATTCTTCACTAGTGGCAGGTGACGGAGAAGACAGCTGAGTGATTAATATTACCATTATTTATTTTCTCGTCAATCAAATTTAGCAAAGCCAAGCATGAACGTTCTCTGAAAGCTCTCTGGGCTCTCTTCTAATGCGATACTGCCCCCACATGGCAAGAACACTAACTTGCAAGCAATTCAATGAAAGGATGCTTATTCAACAGAAAGTGCAATCCTATTTTTTTCAATGTATGTAAACACCGAAACATTTACACGCACCTTAAATTATATTGCATCAATTAAAATGGGTAGAATGTTAAATGTGACGCTTGAGCAGAAACTAAAAAAAAGAACAAAAACAGTTGTGCCATCAAAAACGTCGTCTTCAAAAAGGAGGAATACTGTATTTGGAACTTTGAACGTTTTGAAGCAAAGGTCACGCAGGCACGAGGAAAACATGCAAATTCCACACAAGAACCCTGGACCTCTGCACTCCGTCTGCCGTGCCGCCTGTGGGCCCTTTATACAGGACCTTACTTCTCTTTCACATGCTGTCACTTGCGCTCGAGTATGAAAAAAACATTCGCGATACAGTACAGGTGTCAAATTCAAGGCCCGGGGGCCAGATCCGGCCCACCACATCGTTTTATGTGGCCCGCAAAAGCAAATTATGTGTGTCAACTTCCGTGATCGTTTCTAAAATCTGTACTGAAATATCAAAGTGTCATGTGTCATAAAGAATGTTGCGCTTTTGCAATAATGTTGTTACTCTGTTAAGACTCACTTGAACAATAATTGAACAGGCTATTATAGTTGGTTTGATGGGGTTCAACAGTAGAAACCCATAAATTCGTTGTGTGCATGTACTAATAGGATAAGACGATGAAACATTTGTTTGGTTTCACTGTCATAACGAAAAATGAATTTGACATTCCTGCAATATAGCATCATTGCTTTAGAGCTACAGATAATAACTTTTGATATCAATCGATGGATCTTATATTGAGGAAACACAAACGTATTAGCGTTTCGTTGCTGTTCTCCGGAGTTTGTCCATGTGAGCCGCCATACTCTTGCGACTGCGACTGTACTTCCGCATACGTTTTACGCTTACCGCCCCAGCGTCACACAATTATTGTTCTCGAATTATCACTGAACAGACCGAAACCTCGATCTGGACGTCCTCTCAGATTTTCACTGAAGTAAACCGACATTGAATAAATGTTCGTGTCCGGATAACTTCGTCTTGATGAGCGTTGAAGCTTCTCCACCGGGGTTAGCTTAGCTTGCTAGCTGACGCCTTTCTCAACGCTTCGCTGAGCAGCGATCGAGTGAGAGCGTAAAGTCTTGTGATTATCGTGTGAAAATGTGTGCACAAAGTGTGAAAGAGGAGTACGAGGGGGAACTTTGTCGGACAGAGGAGAGCGAGCGACAAGCTCAACTACTGGACGCTAATTTAAAAAAGATGCCTCTAGATCTGGTACACGCAGCAGGTTTGTTCACTTTCAAATAATGGGTTCGACCCAACTTTAAACGCTGTCCGGCTGCAATGTTTCTGGCAATTAATAAATAAATTAAAACTCAGATAGATTGACCACTGATAAAGTGACACCAGCAGTACTGTCCTAATATTTAGCCAGAACGCGGCCAGTAATGGTTTCCTTTTTAACTGGATTGAGGGCAGTATTTGTTTTGCAATGCAGCGAAATGCACACTCTGTAGACGCGCAGCATTTTACAGTGTCCCGTTGACCAAAACCCCTCATGGGGGAGTGATTGTTACTGTCGGGTCGAAAACAAATTCGGCATTGGGTGAGCTCACCCACTATGATACATTGCATCACCACTTGCCTGAAAAGCTTGACGTGACTAAAGCAGGTGCATTTGTCTGTTTGTATTCTTCAGACACCGTAGAAGATCTTCACCGATATCCAGACGCCTCCCACATTAAAACGGAAGAGGAGGAGGCTGATGTCACCAACTTTCCATTGACTGTCATTGTGAAGAGTGAAGATGATTATGAAGAAGGAGAAGAAGAATGTGATGGAGATCACTGCAGAGGAGCCGGCTTCTTCGCTCAACTATCAGATTGTGATGCTGCGTCATCACAATCACGTGACACGGATGATGACGACAATGATGATGAACACTCTAAAGGTGACATGACGCGTCACACCCAAGATACCCCCTGGCAATGTTCACAGTGTGGGACAACATTGACCACAAAGTGGGATTTGAAAGCACACGTGAGAAGCCACACAAGAGAGAAACCTTTCATTTGCTCACTTTGTGGCAAAAGTTTCACACGTAAGGAAAAGTTGAAGATCCACATCAGAACGCACACAGGGGAGAAACCTTTTATCTGCTCAGTGTGTGGCAAAATGTTTACGCATAAGGGACATTTGACCTTACACATGGGAATGCACACTGGCGAGAAACCTTTTTCCTGTTCTATTTGTGCCAAAAATTTCACACGTAAGGCACATTTGAACAAACACATGAAAATACACACTGGAGAGAAACCTTTTGCCTGCTCAGTCTGCGGCTTAAGCTTCAGTGAACGCCCAGGATTGGTTCTGCACATGCGGACGCACACTGGCGAGAAACCGTATTCTTGCTTAATGTGTGGCAGAAGTTTCTCTCTGAGTCGCAATTTGACAAGACACAGACGAAGACACACCGGTGAGAAACCATTCTCCTGCGCTGCGTGCCATGAACGTTTCTCTTACAAGTATCAGGTGAGCAAACACGAGTGTGCCAGTAAGAAAAGCAACAGGCAATGAAGCTGCAGAACTTTTAGAAAACAATGCAGAAACTGCAACTACCGCAAACAAACTCAGGCACTTTTTCTGGTTTTACTATGATGGAATGTAATAAAATCGGAAATGCAAGTCGTCAAACTGATTTGGTCCTCACGATTGATTTTTTTTTTTTTTTTAAATCAACAATGTGGAGTGTTTTAACCTTAGGAACTGATACAGTGTTCATTTCTGGACAAAGAGGAGAAGCTACAACTAGAGTTAAATGCTTGCGTAAGGTTGATAAAAAGCTGGCATGGTCAGTGTCATAGCTACCTTTCACACCTTTCCCTTAGTAAGGTCTTTTAGCCTTGGTCAACTCAGGTACGCGGTGCGGAAGGGTCCGGTTTGTAATCATGCATGAGTCTGATGTAATACATAAAAACACGTGTTTTTTTTTGGGGGGGGGGGCGCATACATGTCTTCGCAAGCGATGTATTGTCTGAATTCACTGTCACAACTTTTCAAGTCAAAGTATCTTGTTTGCCCCTGAGTAGTTTTGCGGCAGCTGTTCTGTGCGCGAAGTCGCCACACGGTGTGTCACATCTCTACTTTACTTGACTATCCCCCACCCCCACCACAAACAGGTTAAGCCAGAGCCCGTCTAAATACAGGAACCAAAGACCCCACAGTAAAGACAATGAGGAGCCAACCCCCTCCCCCCCACCTCATATTAAAGGGGAAGAGTGAGATGCCCTCCCACACGCACACTCGCGCACATAACGTAAAACAGGAAACGATGTAAAATAATCCCTCGTTGATCATGAGGGTTATGTTATTGACATTAGTCAGTCTCAAAGCCAACAATCAGGATGGAGAACATGTGAAAATGCGAAGCCATAAAAGATGAACTGTGTTATGGCGAGGGATTACTGTACTCCAACAAAACAGACACAGATTATAAAAAGAGTGACAGTAGGATTTACGAGTGTTGAGAGGCCTGGCTCAGCTGCTGGCGCTTGGTGTTTTACTGCTGGCCGTCGAGGGCGCCGACTTTCTCCAAGACAAGACGAACCACAAGAAGATGAAGAAACCTGCCGGGAAGGAGGATGAGACATGGCCGCTGAGGAGCCGACAGGGAGCCAGCGAGGAGGACGGCGTCAATGTTTGGCGCACCCACCTTGCAGGGAGTTGAGGATGCAGAAGAGGTAGAGGCCCGCCGTGCTCAGGTGGCCAAAGGAGAAGAAGACAAGGCCCCAGGTGATGCCCAGCAGGGTGCTGACTCCCAGCAGCGTGCTGATGTTCTGCTTGGTTCGCCCTCGCTCACCCTGCCCAACCTGTGGCAGCCATACACAAATACGCTCGCTAGGTACCGGATCTGAAAAGGTCACTCTATTTGTCTTAGCCATAGAAACACAGTTGAGGAAAAAGTCCGAATGACGTGCAAAACGATGATGAGGAAAATTTGCCCCAACTGGAAAACTAAATCATCTCTGATTCCAATGCAATTGGATTTGATGTCCAAGGAAAAAGCGCGTACCCGTTTGCTGTGCGGGAGGCCGGTCAAACGTTGGACGGTCACCACCAGCATGACGAGGTTGAAGGCAAACACCACGCTGAACACGCCCAGCGTGCTCACCATCTTCAGCGTGCCGTCCAGCAGGTAGCATCTGCGCGCACGCCGCACCACCCGCCATCACGTTACATTACGTTACGTTACGTCAAGAAGCGCCGCACCGGGCCGCCCCCAAGTTGCAAACTGAAGTCAAGTACCGCCTGCTTACATTTGAGTGCTTTCGGGATCTGTGGCGTCCAGGGCCACGCGCCCGTAAGCGTCGGGTTTCAGGAAGACGGCCAAGATCACGATGGCGGCGGGAAGACCTGCGCACAGGGAAAAGACCTTCACGTCAACTGGGACTATCGGAAAGCAACTCTGTTTTTCATTCAACTATACGGATATCATTTCCCCCCCCATGAAAAATATCGTTGTGAGAGGCGGCAGCAAACTAACGGCATCCGTCGCACATTGGTTGCCAAGCCTACTACTTCGTCTACTTTGTGTTTCTTGTTCTTTTGCGTAGCTAGAAGCGGAAGTTTCCAAATCAACCGGAACTCATTCACTGCCGTCAACTCGATTATCGAACGGTGGTTTCGGGTGCCGGTCCGAGCACGACCGGTCTTGGTGTCGGCTTTACATGTTGGTGAAACATGATTTTAATGCGTGCAACTACTGTCTCTACCAAGGCCGGGTCTAGACAGGCACGTACGAGGGGGCAGCCCCAAATGTCAATCCAATAGACTATTTTTTTTATATCTGTTTGAAGCTTCTTCTACTCAATTTCCAATGTTTTGGATGCTCCGTGGCCGATTGCTGCCTCTCACAGGGCAGAGCTGATGCTACATTCTGCAGGTGTCGTCCGATCGTTCGCTTTTGTGGAGTGGACGCGTGGACTCACTCCATCCGGCAAGGCCGAGCTTGAGCATGTATCTGCGGATGTAGATGTTGAAGACGCGCACGAGGAGCAGGTAGAGGTGGAAGCTCTCCAGCGCCATCCAGCTGAAGGTGGCCAGCAAGGAGTAGTGCAGCGCCAGAGCCACGTAAAAGCAGAGCCCGTCGGACGACAGCGCCGCCGCCCGGCTGGACAGGAAGTGAGCGTTGAGCAGGATCAGCGCCACGGCCAGGTTGGCGTGCACCTTCATCGACACGTCCTCGCGGAGTTTCCTGCCAGACGCACACGCCGCTCGGTTAGACACGAGACCATATTTAGGGAAACGGCTATTTTCGAGTGAAAATTACGTGTTTGTATCATGTATATTTCAAAATATTGGGGAAAAAAACAGAAATAGTTTTCATGTAGTTGTTTTTAAATGCAGCAATTTTCAGGATGAAAACAAAATCATAAAAAGTACCAATTTTAAATTCAGTTTTAAAGTGGGCCTGTATTTCAGAAAACAAGTACGTTTTTAATTTTTTTTATTTTTACTTTTTGCTGCCTATTTTTTGAGGAAATGCCCCAATCTGCGGCCCCTTCTCAAGGTTTATCGTTTTCCTTGCCCTCCAGGGATTTAAGATCAGATAATGTCATAAGTATTTTTCAACTGTGGGCGTGTGAAGCCCTTTGAGACTTTTCTCAGATTAAGGACTGGACAAAAATGTTTTACTTCACTTGAAAGTTGCAAAGTTTTGAGACAAAACTTGGACGTTGCTGAGCAAAAGATTTTTTCAGATGAAACTGATTCTTTTTTTTTTTTTTTAGATTCTATTCGAGTGTTTTGAAAAACACCTGAAATGAAAGTTAAAAAAAATAAGCAATTAGAGAAAAAAACGTCTAACTTTCTCGAGGCAAATTGTAAGACTAAGGTGGTAATCTTATGAAATGAAAGTTGCACACTGAGCAAGGAAGCCAGGAATAATCGGCCCCTCCGCCACCCGCTCCCAAACCACCTTTTGGTGACGAAGAGCAGCAGCGTCATGACCAGCGTGACGAGGGAAAGCGTGCAGCCAATCAGAGAGAGGTATGACAGCACCGCTTCATTGGCGTCTGAGAGGGGGGCGGACACCTGCAATGGAAAAACAGCAACAAGTTTGGCGAGCTTCCAGGGCACACGGATGGAAAAGAATGAAGGGAAGGCATCCGACTTCGTAGGAAGGAGAAGAAGCCACAGAAAGGTCGACTCACAATACAATGGAGAGTTTCCGCTCTCCATTGTATTGTCGCTGTTTTTTCTACTTCCACTCTTCTGAATATCAGCCTTCAGTCAAATGCTCAAAGGTGAGACAGTAGGCTCCATTTTTGTAAACAGCGCTTGGGTGTATAAATGGATTCGTCTTGATTTTGTGCTGTGAATGCCTAGTTGAGTGTGTTTGGGAATTTGGCTGGCCGTTCTGGCGGAGCAGGGGCGTTTTCTCAAAACACACACGTGGCGCAACTGACAATCTGGTGGCTGAAAGTAGACTAAAGTTTAGACCACCTGCAAGCTGGTCTAAGTTGTGGTGCAGGCGGTGCGATATGATTTGATCGAGGCGCAGGCAGACAGATTCTGATAAGCGTGGTTGATGTCATCCTATTTTATTCATAATTGTGACAACGGTGACATCAAACCCTCTGAATCGTCGTCAAAAGCAATGCATTAAAGGTATTACGATTATCAACATTATGAGCTTTATTATATTTTTGAAGTCACCCTTATTGGGGTTTTCACGCGGACAAGAAATGAACAAGTTGGAAGGCGGTCTCCACTTTACAGCGGCTAACTTTACCTCACCCACCCATGGAGGTCTGCTAGCAGTTCCGTATCAACACATTTTGTGCACGTCAATTTCCGACATGATTTCCAGAAAGTCTATTTATGCTTCCGCCATGGACACTGTGCACCTCTCTGGCTCTGATTTGAAACGGAATTACAGAGTCGCCGCCATTGGCCGGGAAGCAAGTCGGCTGCGCGCACACCCGCAACAATGCAAACACCCCTGTTTCTAACTGCGCACGTTTGTGAAAATATCAAAAGAAGGCAAGCTCCACCCACGCACGCATTTAGACGTCAGTTTGTGCTCGACTTGTTCCGTCGACAAAAACAGAGGCCGTTATCTTGGTGGTTATCCTCCTAAACGGAGACTCACTAATTACCTTATTTAAGATTCTTCGAAAAGGGTTTGTCCAAATAACCTCTCACTCATTTGCTTTGGAATGCCATGAACGCTCTACAGTGGCGGAATTAAACAGCATTTATGGACTGACTGTATTTATACGTACAAACTGAATGCATTCAAACGGGCCAATAGTGGATTCTCAAGTATAATGGACAGAAATTTGTGCCAAAGCACCGTTGCAGCCTCAGATGCTTTTTGTGTTTCTGGTCAAGTTGTTCTTTACAAAGTACAATCAGAGGTGAAAAAAGGAAGTGCACGAACATCATGTCACACCACACACGCCATTCTTACCAACCTATCACCTGCAAGTACCTGCAAAGTATGTTTTAGATCACCCGAAAACGTTTTAGATCATTTCAAGCTCTTTTGAATATTTATCGGCAATCATTTTTTTGCTGTATTGGGCATTTGTAGGCCTTGAAAAAGTACAAAACAACACATTTGTACTGTATTTGAGTGGCTTTTGGGCCACGAGTAAGAGCAGGAACTTCTGCAGACCAACGGCTCGCAGGGGCGACTCCCTTCGTCCAATTCGTCCGTTAAATCGAGATTTCGTTGCACTGACGTTCTTACTCCCGTATGTGAGAAAATATGTCAATTAGAAAGCTACTCACCTTTTGTGGAGAAATTCAAGAAGGCGCATCTGGGGCTTTGTCTTTCCTGTTGACCACATTGACATTTCCATACACTGCGCATGTATTTAGAGTACATGCGCAGTGTCATCCTTTGACTTACGTTGATGGTGACCGCATTGACAGTGATGTTCACTCGCTGCCGCAATCCTGAAACAGTTTTTCCGTGCAAACGCAAGCCAAGCAGCCTGTTCTGGTAGAGTTCCTCTGACGTCACGTTCTGCAACGGTGAACAACAAACATCCACAATATAGAAAGCCTATATTAAAAAAAATGCTGAAGTATTGGAGGTATGTTCTGAGTTCCATAAAACGTGACTTTGAATGTGATTGGTTGAATCTGAACATAGCCATACCCTCAGTTGTAGGAGGGTGTGCACACTTGTGCAACTGCTTTATCTTGACTCCCGCTTTTGTTTTATCCACTTCAATTATACTGTCAGTCGCATTTATTACAGAAAGAGTTCTGAAAATGTTTTATCACATACATCTGACTTGAGCAGGGGTGTGCAGACTTTTTATACCCCCAAGAAGCTAATGAGGAAATAAAAGAAATAAATGTAATGTATTCGAAAACCAAAAAAACTGCAACTGTAAAACATAATAGGACATCATAGCAATTTTGTAGTGTCTCTGTGTTAGATACAGTACAGTATGTGCCTTTAAGAGACGAGGCCTGGTTGGATTCAGCTACGTGCAAGTGCCCAAGCGTGAGCTGTGGCCAGCAGCAGTTTGGGTGTGAATATTTCAATGTTCTTCCAGCATTCCATAAACTGTATTGCAGTAAATAAGTACACCGTAAAACTCCTAATAATAATAATAATAAATAAAAGTCTCGCTTTGAGCTTTTGTTCTTTTTTTTTTTTTTTAGTTCTTCTGAGGTTGCAAGAGTTTTTCAAATTGCACAGCACAGCCTCTGCTGTTGTTGCATCACTGCATTTGACACACAAGCGACATCTCTTCCTCTTGCAAAAGATTTTTTTTTAATGCTGCGCGTGCGTGCATGCGTGAGAGCGCAAATGTGATTTCAAATCTGTTCTGTACAGAGGTGGCAAAACTACTCATGCTCTTCACAGGGCAGCATCGCATTACATAAAAATTATTGCAATTATGTTTGTTTTTTTTGGGGGGGTTGTTTTTGTTTTTGTTTTTTTGCATTTTGTGTCAAACCAAACGCTACCATGGAACCTGCACGCCGAGCTGCACAGCGTGTTTACTTGATTGATTTTCTGCAGGGAAAAGGTTGACGTGTTTACAACATGAGTTTTCCTCAACTTTCTCCTCATGTACTGAACAACAATCAATTTGTGTACCCATATGGATCGAGGCCACGTCACCATGCAGAACAACAGGGTGTCGTCCAAGCTGGGGAGCAAATCTCCGGGCAGGTGGACGTTGACTCTGCTGTTGTTGACGGGTGTGCCAGCGTTGGCCTACAACAAAGGCCCAAAAACAGGAAGAGAAAATAAATGAGAAATATTCTACGGACTGAATGTGATACCACAGGTGCACCAAGGACCGAAAGATTTGACCGCACGGTGCAGTAAAGCCCTGCCACGGTGCTTGTGGGGGACAGGGACCGAGTCTTGATGCGAATCGCTAGAAAAACTCAACAGGAACAGTCTTATAATGCTCCTTCTGAAATGCTCGAAGATGCCACAAGATGGCGGTCGTCCAAGTCCTGGTCCCTGTGTCATATCGGCGCCAAGGAATTCTGTTGAAGAGGCAGGTCTCGGCTAACAGGCAAGCTTTGAATGTTGCCGCGGAGCTCAGGCTATCCTGGGTTGTTAGCAAGGCGTGACGAGGCAAATAGGCGGGGCTTGGCGATATTCTTCCATACCTCGCTGTCGCTGGCGGAAATGTGCAGGCCGGGGAGGCGTCCACCGGGTTTGAGCAGGAGGGCGGTCAGGCGGCCCACCCGCATGGACGTGCTCTCCTTCACTTCAGTCTGCTCCAGTGAATTTTCCAGACGCTCGATTGCTCTTCACACAAAGAACAAAAAAATAAATAAGTCACCGCATACGAATCTGCTCTGTTTTCTTCCGATTCATCATATTCTTGCTCCTACGCACATATTTGGATGGGAAATGACAAAATGACGGAAGACCTGCAGGACATTCCGTGTTTACTTCTCTAGCCACTACAAGCTCATGTATATATTTTTTTAATCCTCGAGGAAACTAAGGGCAGCAAGAAAACTGGTCGTTGCAACAACAATAATAGAACAGAATGAGAATTTCCAGTATTAATCCCTGAAGCCATGGCGGGGAGGCACATTTTTATCCAAGAAGAGACTAAGGGCAGCAAGAACAAAAAACAGCCATAGCAACAACAATAGAGGAAGAGAATTTGGATTTCTATTATTATGACTTGAAAGGAGACGAAGAGCAATAAGAAAACGGACCGCTGCAAAAAATGAGTTCACGCACTTAATGTTAGTTTGCTGTTCAGCAGTTTTGTGCCATACTTGAATTGCCATTTTTATGATAGAGAGCAGCTTGCACTCAAAACAAACAAACAAAAAAATCTGGGTGTGTGGTTATTTTGTTGTTTGCTTCAAACCCCACGTTGGTGTGTTAGGATAGTGGATTTGTTTTATGAATGCATTGATGAATGAATTATGAAAATGAAATATATCAAGAGCGTATATTTGGTCCATATTTCAACTGGCACTTTTCTCATAGGAAGTGCTTGGTCTCATGGGCGCCCCCCCAGAGAAGCACTGATGAAAAACTGTGGCCCCCGCCAGCACTGAAGTTGCCCATCCCCACTCTAAGATGTCCGAGTTGTCAACGTGAGTGTGAATTGCCGTTTGTCCGCATGTGCCCCGGCTTTGGCCGTTTTGTGACAATACTCACTCAAAGTCGATGTCGGGCTTTCTGCCGTCCATGATCATGTTGACGTGCGCCATACAACGTTTGGCATCCGCAAGGCCTGTTGAAAACTTTGATTGTTGTTGTTGTCGTCGTTTTAACTTTTGAATAGAAATGCGGCACATGGTGGGCAAAAGTTGCACATTTTTTGAAAATCCAAATGCCTGCTAATTCGAAATTTGTTTCGTAATCCAACCTTTGCTTGGAGCCATGAGATGCAAATCTTTTGACAAAAATGGATTCAAAACCATAAAACTGGCTGGAAATCCCCCATTAAGAACCCAACCCTTGCTTGGAACCCAACTTTGAAACCACAACCCGGTCTTAAAACCGCAATTTGAAATATTCTTTTGAAACCAAACTTTATATGGTTGAAACTCTATTTTGAAGGCCACATCCGGAAAGCTTTTTTTAATACCGCAAAGCAGCCATGAAACCCGAATACTTTCCCTCAAGCCTATTTTGAAAGTCAAATCCTGTTTGAAAAAGGTTTTTTGTAGCTTCCATCAAACTCAATCAAAACCCTGGTTTGAAAGTCTACTTTGATATCCTCACCCTGTCTTGAAACAATAATCCCATCATAATTCCCGATAGGCACCTTCAGATCATAATATAAAACCGTAAGGCCTTTCTAAAAACCCGAGCACTGTCTTGAAACCCGAACTACAAATCCAAACTCAGGCTACAAAACCCTAACGTGAATTCCCAGCCCTGCTTTTTAACACAGATTTGAAACCCTAAGTCTGTCTTCACACCCTAATTGTACATACTCACAGTTCCCTTTTTTTTTCCATTTCTGTCTATTACTAAAAACTCACTTGTTGGTGGGTTTGTTCTCTTTAAAGTAGTTTGTTCTCTTTAAAGTATTCAGTCAAGCTCCCGCGCTCTATAAATTGACCCAATCTTTACATACTGTACAAAGTGTGAACATGGAAAAAAAAAATCACCTACCTCGTTTGGGTCCAGAAACCACACAACTCGTGTGTAGGTCTTCAATCATACAATCTGTGCTCAGACACTCCGTTCCCCCGGTGTCATGTTGATCCGGTATGTCCCCTCTAACCGGACTCTGGTCGAGATCTTTATTGTGCCGAAGAACTCGATCACAACACGCCAAAAGTGGCAGCAGCCAAACAAGGATCCACCGCTTCATCCTGACAATTTAAGAGCATGAACATTGCATCGTGGAATCAAAGTCCAACATTGAAATCAACATGCGGCATCGTCCTTTGGCCTCAAATGAAGTCTTTCTGACCTTCAAGGGAAAGCCTGAGATCCAGACGCGAGGACAACGAGAACACAACCGCGTTTGAAATGGAAAGAAAAACATGCAAATGACATTGTAACATCCAAAGAGGAAGTGGCAACAGACAAAAAGCAATACCCAAAAACCTCAGATGAGCTCACATTACAACTTTGCTTGATGACATGATACTTATTGTGACCTGCTGCCCCCGTGACCCGACCCCGGATGAGCGGTGGAAAATGGATGGATGGATGGATGGATGGAGATATATATATATATATATAATATATACACACACACACACACACACACACACACACACACACACACTAATAACAACTCAACTAAATCAAAGCACTTTTAAAATGAAGTCAAACTCACTTAATTTAAAAAACAAATGTCAAAATAAAAACTAAGAAAATGAAAAAAATCCCAAATTATAATAACCCTGCTTGCAACCTGACCCTGTTCAAAGAGAGAATTTTGAATACCACATTTTTAAACAGAACATGTTTACACGTTCCAAGTGGCTTTCAAAGCACCTTATTGGGAAACTACAGATGGTCCGGACCACCCCGTGTACAAAAATGAATGAAGTGAAATGATCAATCATAACTGCACAAAATATGCACAGAAAATTTCACTCATCATGGCACCAATCTCTTCTAGTTTTGGAAAGTTAAAATATTGTCATTTCTAATGTGCTCTGACAAGTTGCCAATTTGTATTGTTTTTTTTAATTTATCTTCTATTAGACATATAGCACTGCAGGCAATTTGCTTTTATCTGATAGATAGATAGATAGATAGATAGATAGATAGATAGATAGATAGATAGATAGATAGATAGATAGATAGATAGATAGATAGATAGATTCTATGCTATCTCTCCAAGCAAAACGCTGGTGGTTTATTTCACTGAAACATTTGAGAAATAATTTTCCAAAATGTAAACTACGTACAGACACAACACACAGGAAAAATGTATTTTCAAAAAACATTTTTATTATAAAATATATATTTAAAAAATGCCAGGGTTATTAAAAGAAAACGAATGCATACTGAAAAATATTAGAATGGGAACACAGTTTCAAGGTTTTGACAGCTTCTTTTTATCACCTGATATAAAGAACAAAGATTAATCTAACTTTTCCAAAACAAAGAAAAACATGTTTTACTTAGCAAATTTACATTTGTAAATGATAAAATAATCTATGATTAATTATACTGTTTCTCGAACGACGTCATAAATTAGGAAAGCCCCCCAAAAATTATGTGAAGGTCAAAGTTATAGAAGGGGTTGTCCAAAATACACCTGCAAATGTCTTGAATTTAGCTGAAGCTTAATTAAGACCTGTGTCACCACGGTGTACTATTTTTTTTTTCAGAATCATAAACCCAAAAAGTAGAACACACTTTCCCTCGCTTGCAACGCTTGCTGAGTTACGTCGCGTTGCAGTGACGTCTGCCATGAGCGCGTTTTTATTGGCTTATATCATTTACGTAAATCATAAACGACACTGAAATTTTAAACAAAACATTACAACTCCCGATCAACCGTTCGACTTTCCCTCTTACGTTGGCCCGATACATGTCAAGCTTCTCGATCTAATTTAGCTTCGCTTAGCTTTCTCGCTGCTGTCCAAGAGACCTGTTTGCTTGCGAGACATATGTAAGAAGGGAAGAAGTGTGTGCGTAACGTGTTTTGATTCTCGCGTGAACATCAGTGCAGAAAGTGTGAAAAGGGAGTGCGAGGGGAAACTTCCGCGAATAAAAGATAAGAAGAAGCGACAACGTCAACTACCGGACGCTGTTTTCATGAAGCCTCAGGATGTGTTGCACAGAGCAGGTCTGTGTACTTCCCTCTCGCGCCTGGTTCATTTGAATTCTTAACAATGCGATGTCTGTTTTAGCTTCATTGACTGGTCCCCAACAAGGAGGCAGTGCATCGTGGCGCCTAGCAGCCCATCTTAATATTGCTCATACATTTTTCTTTTTTTTTCTATTTTCATTTGTCATTTATTATTCTGCCATTTTTTCAGACACAATTGGATGTGACTCGTTTCAGTTTTAGCAGTTATGGTTCGAATATGGCACAAGAGCCATGATGTGAGACGTACGTACGTTTTATGTGTTACGATGGTGATGCAAATTCCAGTTGGAAATGAAAGGGGCAGTCTCAAATGAGGCAACACGGGAGTCCCTTTGTCCCAGGCATGATGATTCGCCATACGGAAACCAAGAGTTGTGTTATTCGTCCCATTTTGCTCACATGCTTGGGATCTTTTTTATGGAAATGTAAACCCTCCCTTTATACCTGGATAGAATTCAACCCAAATTTTGTGGGTTGGGTTTTGTCAGAAATGGCTGTCAGCAAAAAAAAAAAAAATTCTCTTACAAACCCTGGTCATGCAAGTCCTTCCTGCTGCCTATGTCTGGGCAATATTGTATAAACAAGGGTCTGCTCTAAATCAATCAATCTTTTTGGGGTCACATTTTATTAATTTTATTTTGTTAATTAAAAAAAAAAACAATGATTTTATTTTCCCAACAGCGAAAAGACAAGAGCTTGTTTACTAAAGTGGTACTGTTTAGTTTGTCATTTGGGATCAGTCCGGTTCACAGCATCAGATGATGACCAACACAAGTGTCTGCTGCAAGGTCGGTTTGAAGACTGTTGCAACCCAAGTGCATAGCACAGAAGGGAAATCTACTTCCACGAGGAAACAGACAGCATGAGGCGGATTGCAGCATTTTGCCTTGTTTTACGTAAGAAGAAAGCCCAGTCGGGAAATAGTGAGTCACTCATGATGGACATTGTTAGAGACATGACGCACGAAGAGTTTGTACGTTGCAAAAGCCAACATTTTTCCACTACCTGGTCAACATTGATAGTGCTTGCATCTGTTGTAATAAACTACACGCAATACGTACTACAGGTTATTCAAAATATTTTCAGTACAGGAGTGACATTGTAACATGGAACAGGGCATGGCTTAACCCTAGTATTGGAGACAGGCTTTTTTATTCATTCATTTATTTGTTGATTTATTAATTTACTTTTTACCCCCAAATTTTTTATATAACTGGGCAACCTAACCAGGATGCAGGATTTAATGTTTAATTTGTTTTTTGCTTTTGCAGACATCAGTGAAGAATATCTTTGGCCTGAGCAGCAGAAGACAGAGAATGAGGTGGAGTGCCCCAATGTTAAAGAGGAAGATGAGCTGGGGATGGCCCAAATAAAAGAGGAAGAGCAGGAGCGTGAGATCACCAAGTTGCCATCGACTGTCTTCGTCAAGAGTGAAGATGATGACAATGATGAAGAAGACTGCCGTGAAGCATCACAAGCAGACTTGGCTCTGTTGTCAGAAAGTGACTACGTAGCGTCAGACTTTCCTGACACCGATGATCGTGCGCTCTCAAAAGGTGGTACAACACGTCACACTGACAACAAACATGTCAAATGTTCTCGGTGTGACAAAACTTTCATCCACAAGTCATCCTTGAAAAGACACACAAGAGCACACACTGCAGAAAGACCCTTTGCCTGCTCGGTTTGCGGTAAAAGATTCTCTGGAAAGAGACATTTAATCGCACACACCAGAACGCACACGGGGGAGAAACCTTTTGCCTGCTCAGCTTGCGGTAAAAATTTCACTCAGAGGGGTCATTTGATTGTACACACCAGAACACACACTGGGGAGAAAACTTTTCCTTGCTCACTTTGTGGTAAAAGATTCACTCAGAAGGGACATTTAATAGCGCACACAAGAACACACACTGGGGAGAAAACATTTTCCTGCTCAGTTTGCGGTCTTCGAGTGAATCAAAAAAACAATTTAACAAATCACATGAGGACGCACACTGGAGAGAAACCGTTTGTCTGCTCACTCTGTGGTAAAAGATTCACCCGTAAGGCTCATTTGAACAATCACGTAAGACGACATTCTGGGGAGAAAAATTTCAGCTGCTCCGATTGCGGGAAAAGGGTCTCTCACAAAGAACATTTGAACACACACATGGTAACGCACATTCTGGAGAGACCTTTTGCCTGCTCGGTTTGTGCCAAAAGATTTGCAAGAAAGGGAGATTTGCGAACACACTCCAGAATACACACCGGCGAGAAACCTTTTGCCTGCTCGTTCTGCAACTTGACCTTCAGTGATCGCTCAGGATTGGCTCAACACAGGAGAACGCACACCGGGGAGAAACGGTTCTCGTGTGCCATTTGTGGCAAAAGATTCTCCCAAAAAGGCACTTTGACAACACACGCGAGGACACACACGGGGGAGAAACCCTTCAGTTGCAGCTTATGTGACAAACAATTCCCCCATAAGTATCAGGTGAAGAAACACAAGTGTGCCGGCGAGAAGAGCAGTGATCGGTGAAGCTCCGAGTCAACTGTGAACACAGTCCTCTTTCTGGCAATGTGTCAAAGTTTCAAATCGATTCCAAATTAAAGTCCTCAAACATTGATGGTGCTCTCTGTCCATTGTCGGTGCCTTAATACGGGACTTACTTTTCAGATCCACCCTTGAGAGGAGAAAATCTGGAGCCCCAAAGTATAAAGTCTCAGTTGTTGTTTCAGCCATCAAATGTTAAATTCACCAAAAGACTCTTTGGAAAGAAATTGCGTTTAAATAGACGCAACAAAATTGCCAGCAAGTTGGCCTTGCTGTGACGGTGGCTATAAACCGCTGATTGACATGACATTCGAAGAATTTTTGTGACGGCAAGTTAGATATGATTGACAGAAATGTCTGGAAAATTTGGGACAGTGATAGATGAACTGCAACATTGCGAGAATCGGTCATTTTCTCTCCTGAGACAGCATTTTTCCTACGTATGATCTTTTCTACGTGTATTTATAAAACACGCATTTTACACAGAAAAGACCTTAAAATATATATATATATTTTAAATAGAGGAAGACACTTAATCACAATATCAACATTATTTATTCCTGGTTCAAAAATTGAATTGAAAATACATGAAAAGGGACACGTAGATGTCTTGAATTGAGATGAATTCAAAATAGTTCCAGATAACTCATTGGCAGATATTCATCATTTCTGGCAATTCTAGATATTTCTAGGCCCCTTTCCAGGCAGCCTAAATCGAGTTTTAAATTGGTAAAATCCTGTAAGTTGTGGACATCTCCAACAATACTTGCGAAGGGGAAGAATTGGGTTCGCATACCTGATAAAATAATATTTTCGACGACTGTTGAGCACATGAGCCTGAGTGCAGAGGTGCAGGATCCGATTCCGGACTCCTGCCTTCCTGTTTGGCGTTTGCATGTTCTCCCTGTGCCTACGTGGATTTTCTCCGGGTACTTCGGTTTCCACCCACATTCCAAACACATGCGTGGCAGGTTGATTGGATGCTCTGAATTGTCCCAAAGTGGGATTGTGAGCGCATTCGTCGCTCGTCTCTGTGTGCTCTGCGGTTGGCTGGCAACAAGTTGAGGGTTGACCTCGCCCGCTGCCCCAAGACGGCTGGGATGGGCTCCAAGACGGCCGCGACCCTCGTGGGGAGAAGCACATTAGAAAACGGGTGGATGAATGGATTAAAAAAATACTTGCAGCATAATATCTACTGTAGCTTTCGGTGGGCGGAAGTCGGCGCTTCGCGTCATCGATGACGCAACTAGCCCGAAATGAAAACCCCTCGACTCGCGTTCCGCGGAACAAGTCTTCACGAATTCCGTCTGAACACCGTCGGGACTTTAAAAGAGTGAAGCGTCATTCCTGAAACCTCCGTGTCTCGATAAGGTCTTCTCGGTGAAGCTGAACCTTCTATCTCGTTTGGCTTATCCTCCGTCTTAGTTTATCTTAGCCTGCTAGCCGCTAACAAAGAGACGCCTTTGTCAAGTCAGCGCTCAGCTTTGCAGAGATCACGCCTGAGTGTCGAATGTTGTGATTATGGTGGGAAAATGTGGGCAAAGGGCGTGAAAGAAGAAGAGTACGAGGAGGAATTTCGTGGAACCAAAGAGGCCAACGAGGGACGACGTCAAACACTGGACGCTGATTTCAAGAAAGCTCCAGATGAGCCACACAGAGCAGGCTAGTTCACTTCTTACACTGCCAAAAGTGTCGGAATTTATTCCTGAAATTGCATTCCAAAAACGATGGTTAGTAGAAAGGAATTTCAAACCCAAACTTCAGGACTGTGAGGCAGGTGGTCGAAGCACTTGGACTACTCATAAATTTGTGTGAATAGCATTATTTATTTTTAATCAAACATTTTAACACGAGAATTCAGGTTGATGTCTGGGTTTTTTGTGTGTGTTTTTTTACTTGTAGGTACAATCACACATGAATTATTTGGTATCCTGAAAAATGCTACATGTTGTATTTCCAAGCGTCACTATCAAGTCAAGTCACATTTATTGATGTCACCCTTCATCACAAACTGTCTCAAAGGGATTCACGTGCCCACAGTTGACCGTTGGGAGGGCAAGAGAAATCTCTCAAAACCCCACCTGGGGAAAAATGAGAAACCGTGAGAAGGGGGCCGCAGATGGGAGAATCCCCTCTTCCAGGATGACCAGGCTGCAATGGATGCCCAGTGGGCAACATTTGACACAATCTTGTACTAGACAATGTTAGTTTCAATGATACTGGAAGGAACATGGATGTGATTCTCGAGTATTGATTCTATGTTCTTGATAAACATTTCCCGGAAAAAAAATGTCTTGCACAATGTAGACAAAGTCACAAGATAACACTCGACTGAGCAAACCTTGACTTGACCAAACCTTTGTGTGCTTTATCTTCCTATGTCACGCAGATGTCAGTTTTGCCGACGCACCTCCTGAGCAGCTGGAGCCAGGGCACCCTCATGTTAAAGAGGAAGAGGAGCGGGAGACTCACCACATAAAAGATGAAGAACAGGAGGCTGACGTTACCAACTTCCCATTGAACGTCATTGTGAAGAGTGAAAATGATCACGGAGAAGAAGATGGTGATGGAGACCACTGTGGAAGATCACAAGCAGGCAGCCTCTTAGCTCCTCTTTCTGACGGTGACGACGTCACGTCACACTCTTCTGACACCGACACGGCCGATGACGAGCGCTCCAAAGGTGAGAAGACATGTCACGCCAACGACCAACGCTGGAAATGTTCTCAGTGTGACAAAACATTTGTCAACAAGTCATCACTAAAGAGACACACAAGGATACACACCGGGGAGAAACCTTTTGCCTGTTCACTTTGTGAGAGGAGATTCTCGGTCAAGGAAAGTTTAACAAATCACATGAGAACGCACACTGGGGAGAGACCCTTTCCCTGCTCCGTTTGTCGTAAAAGATTCATTACAAAGGGAAGCTTAACAAATCACACGAGAACACACACCGGAGAGAAACCCTTCGCCTGTTCGCTTTGCGACAAGAGATTTTTCCGGAAAGGACAATTTGAAACGCACTCAAGAACACACACTGGCGAAAAACCGTTTCCCTGCTCAGCCTGCAACTTATCTTTCAGAGATCGTACGGTGATGGTTCAGCACATGAAAACGCACACGGGCAACAAACCTTTTGCTTGTTTGCTTTGCGCTAAAAGGTTCTCCAGAAAGGAAGTGTTACAAAGACACACGCGAACACACACCGGAGAGAAACCTTGTGCCTGTTCGGTCTGCAGCTTAAACTTCAGTGACCGTTCAGCACTGAGTTATCACATGAGAAAGCACACAGGGACGACGGAAGTGTTTTTGTGCTCCGTTTGTGGCAAAACATTCTCTCGGGGGGCCACTTTGACGACCCACGCGAGGACGCACGCTGGCGAGAAAGCCTTCAGTTGCAGCGCGTGTGCGAAACAATTCCCCAGCCAGGAGCTGCTGACGAAACACAACTGTAGCGGTGGGAAGAGCGGCAGGAAAGGAAGCGTGACATGAATGGGAAAGAAGCGGACTCGTTTGGTGGCATGCTCTCAAAGTGCCTCTGTGATTCCCAAATCAAGGTCCTCGAACTGCAATAAGAGTTGAACCACAGTTTACTATTATAAAAGTATTCCCAGACAGGCTTTGGTACAGCACTCGACAGGAGATGTATGGAATACAGTATTCTCAAGTTCAGACAAGTTCAGTCTATACAGCCTTGAACATGTATACACACAACTTTAAAAGTGTTTATTTTTTTTCCTTCCCCTTTGTGTAAATGTGTCCCCAGTTGTGACATTCACAACACTTTGTAGGCTATTTCATTTGATTATTGTGCTCATTCAGTCAAAGTGTCCCCAGACAGGCTTTGTTTAATTTACAGCACTTTAATAATGTAGACAATATACAGTAGGCGAGGTCTGTAGGCTCAAGTTCGGGCTATTGGGTGTGCTTCACAATTGTTAAAAGTGTTACAGTACAAATCTCTGTTTGATTTCCAGCACTTTTTAATAGCCAATAGGCTATGCTCAGGTTCAGGCGACTTCAGTCTATGAAAAAAAACAAGGTTCATTGCTAATAAAGCACTTTAAACTTTAAGTACGTCTGAATGCATGATTGATTTCTCCTTCCTGACTGACCACCAATGTGACCCACAGGATAATATGACATGTTCAATAAAGTCACATCAATCAAAGCATTTTGTTTTGTTCACAGAAGAAATGTGTGTGATTCTATGCATTTCGGGGTTTTGGGGAGCCAAAGCCTCCAATTTCTTTTGCACGCGTGGTTTGGCCGCAACGCCGTGACGAGTGTGACTGATTTCCGGATCTGAAAGGTGGCGACCCGAGGTTTGCCGTTTTAACAGGACGAGTCAAGTTTTCACGTGACAAAATGTATGTTTGGTTGTGAAAAGGTACGTTCACATTTTAGGAGTTTGACTTCCGCATTTGGCAAAACGAAGCAAAGCAAGCGACTCCTTCTGGTACAAGTGGCGGCGCCGTATAACGTGGACCCAAGTGTGTCTACTTTTTTTTTTAATTTCTAATCATTTTAACTCTGCCGTGTTTTTCTGCAGTACTGGGGACAAGATTGATGTTGAACGTTTTTTTTTTCTGGGTTGGCTGCAATACGCTTCAGGACTAGGCGAAATGCTATTGTGCAGTTGCTGATATCTGAAATGCTAATTGCAGACTGGAAGACTGTAGTGACGGATGTGATTTTAAAATTTTTATTTTGACAAAAAAAGTGGATTACAGATATCTGCAACGTAAATTCAGTGTAGCTGTTAAATGTTAATCTGGTTTGATTTCACGCAAAAAGCAGAGAGCGGAAATGGGCGTCATACGTCATCGATGATGTAACTTTCCCCAAAATGATCACAAAACTCACGCTTCGCGGAATAATTCTCCAAATTCGGACTGAACACACTGGACTTTCCTGGAGCAAAACGTCATCCATTCAACATTCGTGTGTGGATCAACTTGTCTCGGTGCACGATGGATCGTTCGATCTAATTTAGCGGTGATTAGCTTAGCTTGCTAGCCGCTAACAAAGAAACGCATTTGCAATGTCCACGCATCGCTTTGCACAAATCAAGCGTGACTGCGAGGTGTTGTGATTGTCGTGCGAACATGTGCGCAAAACGCGTGAAAGAAGAATACGAGGAGGAACTTTGTGCGACAAAAGCAGACCACGAAATACAGCGTCAACGCCAGGACACAGTTTTCAAGAAGGACGAAGCACAAAGAGCAGGTTGGTTCGCCTCTTCCCATCAGCTGTTTACGACCGTCACTCCACGTACTCTTCTTTTCATGATTAAGTCTCGGGTTTTTGTTCCCTTTTACTACAGCTTGACAGTCTGACATTTCTTTTGCTGCCTTTGCTGCACGAAGTGTTGAACTCACATCAATTCTGATCAGTCGTCAAAAATATCCGTCGATCTTAATTTTTTAACTCTTTAAGCAACGTTCACAACTGTACGCTCGTCTCGATGATTTAGAGCAGGCAACAAAGTGTGAACACAAACAGAAAACGGCATTTGGGTGGAGAGAAAGTATTGACAGTCCCAGGCAAAATTTGGAAACAACTTCAATTTTAAATGGTCTCAAACCATCAACACATTCACAGGTGCAGAAATTCAAGCTCTTCATAAAGCAGATCAGCGAGCTGAAAATCATTCCCGGTCATAAATCATCATCTGCATCATAAAACTGACTGAGAAAATACCACAATGTGCAAAGCTGTCATTTTAGCAAACGGCACCTACTTTGAATAATCTAAAATCGAAAACATATTTGGTTTGAATAACATTTTACATTTAAGCAAAGGATTCCCTACGTGTTGCTAACTTTCCCAAACCTTGTGTGCTTGTCTTGCTTTGTTGTGCAGATGTCAGTGAAGTTGACCTTCCTCCTGAGCAAGATGAGGCAGAACACCCTCGTGTTAAAGACGGAGACAAGCGGGAGCCTTCCCACATTAAAGATGAAGAGGAACGGGAGACTCCCCACATAAAAGATGAAGAGCAGGAGGGTGACATCATCGACTTTCCATTGACTGTCATTGTGAAGAGTGAAAATGATGATGAGGATGATGATGATGATGAAGAAGAAGAATCTGATAGAGAGCAGTGCGGAGGATTGCAAACAGACAACTTCTTAGCTCCTCTCTCAGAGAGTGACAACATGACGTCGCACTCTTCTGACACTGATGGTGACGAGGACTCCAAAGGTGATCAGACATGTCACACTGACAACCAACGCTGGAAATGTTCTCAGTGTGACAAAACTTTTGTCAACAAGTCGTCACTAAAGAGACACACGAGAATACACACTGGGGAGAAACCTTTTGCCTGCTCAGTCTGTGATAAAAGATTCTCTGTCAAGGAAAGCCTAACTAATCACATCAGAACACACACTGGGGAGAAACCTTTTTCCTGCTCAGTGTGTGAGAAGAGATTCATTACAAAGGGAAGTTTAACCAATCACACAAGAACACACACCGGAGAGAATCTTTTTACCTGTTCTGTATGTGGTAAAACCTTTGCTGAAAAGGGACATTTAAGAGTGCACATGAGAACACACACAGGAGAGAAACCTTTTGAATGTTCAGTTTGTGGCAAGAGATTCTTTCGGAAAGGACAGTTTGAAACACACTCAAGAACACACAATGGCGAAAAACCATTTGCCTGTTCAGTCTGCAACTTATCTTTCAGAGATCGTACGGTGATGGTTCAGCACATGAAAACACACACGGGCAAGAAACCTTTTGCTTGTTTAGTTTGCGCTAAAAGGTTCTCCAGAAAAGGGGATTTAAAAAGACACACAAGAACACACACAGGGGAGAAACCTTTTGCCTGTTCAGTGTGCAACTTAACCTTCAGCGATCGTTCGGGATTGAGTCATCATATCAGAACACACACTGGGGAGAAACCGTTTTCATGCACCATATGTGGAAAACGATTCAATCAAAGTGGCACTTTGACAATACACACAAGAACGCACACTGGAGAGAAACCCTTTGGTTGCAATGTGTGTGACAAACAATTCCCCCGCAAGCAGCTGGTGAAGTCACACAAGTGTATGGGTGAGAAGAGCGGCGCTAAATGAAGCTTCAGCAAATCTGTGAAGAAAAGTTGGACTCTTCTTGGTGACCAGTAAACGTGTCTATGTGATTCTGAATAAAATACGAGTCTTCAAACTGTGGTCGTGTCCAGGAACCGTTGTAGAGAGCCTCAATGCAATAAATACAGTTCAGCTAAATATCTTTGACAGGGAGACCATGTAAAAAAAAAAAAATAAAGTATGAGTCTTTAAATTGACCTCCCGTGTGGTTACAACACATCCAAATATATTATTATTTTTTTATGGTAGTGTCAAAATCATTCAACACACACAAAATTATAATCGCTCGCAGGGCACAGCAGGCTTGAATAGTTCTCTGAGCCTGGCAGTTGGTGTCAATAAAACAACTCTCTCTATAGCCGCCGAGGATCCGCATTTCAAAGTCAGTGTGCGGAAATGATTCTGCTCGCCGACCTTTGATGCTGACAGCCTGAAGCAGTTGCAATTCAACTCATCCGGTTTTGACAAACCAGTCGTACTCATACTCAAATGTGTAGGCAAAAGCATTACTGTGACATCACTTTTGGTCGACCGCAGAGGTTGCTGGTTGCCAGCTAATCGCAGGGCACATATAGACCAACAAACATTCGCGCTCACAGTCACATCTTGGGACCATTTAGAGCAGGTGTGTCCAAAGTCGGTCCTCAAGGGCCGCTATCCTGCCTGTTTTCCAGCTCTCCCAGGAGCAACACACCTAATTCAAATAATCAGGATCGTTCCAGTGCTGCTTCAGAGTGGTTGTGAGCTGATCATCTGAATCAGGTGTGTTGCAACCGGGAGAACTGGAAAACAGGCAGGACATTGGCCCTCCAGGCCCTGAGCTGGACATGCCTGATTTGGAGTGTTCCATTCACCTGCCATGCATGTTTTGAAAGGCGCGCACGAGGAGAACATGCAAACTCTGGATGACTTAAAAATAATCTCTAAGACCTTCAAAATAGTTTTACAAAATCCCCCCCGACAGTACAGTACTCTCCTTTTTTCCCCTCCTAATTTGGAGTAGGCGTGTTTAAATTCCCTCTAGTTCGGACCCTGCATTTAGTTAAGGCACCTGTGTGGGCACCCTTCCAGCAGAGGACCCCAATTGTTGTGATTCCCACCAGCCCATGTGGAGCACGACAGAAACATAAGCACTGAAATGCGTTCTTGAGGAAGTTAAGTTTGTTTTCCGTATACACAGTGCAATATTGGTTCATGTACTCACAGATTATTGAGTTAGTACACACACACACACACACACACACACACACACACACACACACACACACACACATTTCTTCCACAGACAAAGTAACCCTGCCATTCTGGAAGTACAGTACCTCCCCGCTCTCCCTATTTGTACTGGCCACATCGCCCGCAGGCATATGAGATCTATGTGGTCTTTGTCATCGCCCACCTTTTCATGGTCAAAAAGATGACCTCAAAACACTGGAATATTTTACCGCTTACACATATTCTCCATATGCAAACACTACCATGTGATAACCAGCAATTTTCATTGATCCCCGCAAACAATTGTGCATTTGCATATTTCTCTCGAGCAAGCACAACAGGTAAAGATTCACGGGACAAGGAGGAGGAGATCAGATCAGAAAACCTTTAATCGTCTCACAAAGGAGAAATTCCCAATTTACAGCAGCAAAGTTATGAAAGGAAGAAAGTAGAAGAACAAAATATAGTAACTCCTCCTGGCCCTTTTGGCAGCAATAACCTCAGTAGTTGCAGGTCAGAACTATGCCATTGAGTTTCGGACCCCTCCTCTTTCTCAAAACTTTTGCCTTTCAGCAAGTTACCGGGAAGCCCGGTGTCAACGGCTTTCTCCAGGAGGACGCTGCAGAATCTCAACTAAGTTGAAGTCAGGACTTTGAATAGAAACTTGTAAAAAGCTGGAAATGCTCCAACAAAAGATACCGAGCCCTTTCACTGTTTCAGTGGCCTTTATTTGAGCTCACATATCCATTTTTACCGGTTGCCAGCAAGAGTTTCTTTCCGATCTATTTTTAGCTTCCCAGACTGCCGCGCACCTCGCCAGCGCACTTGTGTTTCTTGAGCTGATACTTATGGGGGCAATTGTTCATCACACCCACCACGACTGAACGGCTTCTCACCGGTGTGCTTTTTCATGTGCGCTGTCAAAGAGCCTCTCAGATGAAATCTTTTGTCACAAGCAGAGCAAGAAAACGGCTTCTCCCGTGCATGTCTTTTCAAGTGATGATTCAATCCTGAGCGATCACTGAACGTTGAGGTGCAGACTGAGCAGGCAAAAGGCTTCTCACCAGTGTGCGTTCTCATGTGTGTGCTTAATTGTCCCTTTACAGAGAATCTTCTTTCGCACACTGAACAGGCAAAAGGTTTCTCTCCCGTGTGTGTTCTTGTGTGCGTTTTCAAATGATCCTTTGTCGACAATGCTTTCCCACAAACCAAGCAGGGAAAAGGTTTCTCTCCAGTGTGTGTTCTCATGTGATTTGTTAAACTAATCTTTTGAGTGAATCCAAGGCCACATGCTGCACATTTAAAAGGCTTCTCCCCAGTGTGTGTTCTTTTGTGTGTTCTTAAATCTCCCCCCCGAGGAAACCTTTTATCACAAATCGAACAGGCAAAAGGCTTATGTTCGTTGTGAGTACTCATGTGACTTCTGAAGCTCCTCTTTTGAGTGAATCCGAGACCGCATACTGCGCAGGCAAAGCGTCTCTCCCTGGTGTGTCTTCTCATGTGTTGCACCAGTGCAGAGCGATCACTGAAACGCGCCGTGCAGACTGAGCAGGCAAAAGGTTTCTCGCCAGTGTGCGTTCTTATGTGCCGAATTAAGCTTCCCTTCACAGAGAATCTTTTCTCACAAAACGAACAGGCAAAAGGCTTCTCCCCCGTGTGGGTTCTCATGTGAGTGATTAAGTGAATCTTTTGATTTACTCGCAGATCACAGATTGAGCAGGCAAAACTTTTCTCTCCAGTGTGTGTTCTTGTGTGTGTTCTTACATGTCCCTTCGTCGAGAATCTTTTGTCACAAACTGAACAGGCAAAAGGTTTTTCCCCGGTGTGGGTTCTTGTGTGCGTTATTAAATGACCCTTGATAGAGAATCTTTTACCGCAAACTGGGCAGGGAAAAGGTTTTTCTCCTGTGTGTATTCTGGTGTGTCTGGTTAACGATGACTTGTTGGAAAAGGTGTTGCCACACTGAGAACATTTCACACGTTTTTTGCCACCTTCTGAGTGTTCTTCTTCATCCTCAGCCTCTTCCTCATCGGTCTGAGCAGAGGGTGTTGTCACAGCGTCACTATCTGATAGCGGAGAGGAGACGCCGTCCACTCGTGAGCCTCCGCGGCTCTCTCCGTCAGCCTCGTCATCTTCAATCGTTGTGACAGTCAATGGAAAGCTTACGTTGTCAGCCTCTTGCGCCTTCTCTCCACTTCTAGGAGGCTCCAGCTCCAGATGCTCAGGATGAAGATCTTGGTCACCGTTGTCTGCAGGACACGAGAAGACAAACCTGGTGAAAGTCGAGCTTTGCTCAAGTCTCCCACGGTGACTTTCATGCAACAGTACATGTTTTTTGTCATGCTTTTGGAACACGAACAACGACAAGGTTTGAGAATCACGTTTATGTGCCTTTTCGCGGCACATCAGAAGTTCAGAAAAATATGAAGCATCAAATGAACATTTTTTTAGAGTGCCAAATAATTGCTATGTTCTTGATTTTACCGGAAGCAAAAAACAGACATCAACATGGATTTTTATGTTGAGTCTGACTTTGTATTAAATGCAAATAAGGTTGTTAATCATCGCAGTGGATGAGTGATTAGCCAGTCTGCCTCACAGTTGTGAGGTTTGGTTTTGAATCTCGGCTTTGGTCTTCCTCATTCTCTCTCACATTCGTGCCTGGCTTTTCTCCAGATCCAAAAAAGGTGAGCAGCGGCAGCCAGACGCAAATACTTTTCATGGCACTGAATAGTGATTTCACTTCCTGAAATTGTGTGACAAAGAAAAAAAATTGTTTATCGCTCCCTTGACCAAGTTCTCGTGCGATTCAGGGCAAAATAATGTTCAGTGCCGAGTCGCATGTCATGACAAAATAACCACTGCGCTAATGATTCCTTAGCATTAAAATTTTCTGCAGTATCAGCGATAGTGGATAAAAATATCCAAAAGTATGTTTTGTATTAAATATACAATTGAAGCCTTGTTACCCACAAACGGGAAGGACTGTTGTTAAACACTCTAGTGACTTTACACAAGTGCAAAACAAAACATCAATAGAAACCTTGAAAGGGAGGAAAATGGAACAGGGCGCGAGGGCCAAGAAATACAACAAGGAATGTTGTTCCAAATCTAGTCTAGTTCCTCAACCAGTGAGAGTAACAAGTGAACAAACCTGCTCCGTTGTGGAACGCGTCGTCATGATGCTGCTTGAAAATAGCCTCGAGTAACAGAAGTAGTCCCCCGTTGTCCTCTTTTGCACGACAAACGTCCTCTTTGTACTCGTCTTTCACGCTTTGTGCGCACATTTTCACACGATAATCACGACAATTTACACTCACACTTGATCTCCGCTCAGCGGCGTGGCGCCGTCAAGCGTGGCTTTTTGTTAGCTGCTAGCAAGCTAAGCTAAGGTAAACTCACCAGAAAACACTTCAAGGTGACACGGGACGAATTTATGCGGACACTAATTTGTAACAAAAGTTTACTCTAGGTAACGATGAAGGTACTGTGTCGTAGATTCGGTAAATTAGGTACGAATTCTGGAACAATTATATCATCCAGCGCGACTCGGGGATTTAGCTGAGTGACGCCAGAGGTGATGCAGGGCCTTTACGCTTCTTCTTCTTCTTCTTCTTCTTCTTCTTCTTCTTCTTCTTCTTCTTCTTCTTCTTCTTCTTCCTGTTCTGCTTCTTCTTCTTCTTCTTCCTGTTCTTCTTCTTCTTCTTCTTCTACTTCTTCTTCTTCCTGCACTCTCTTTTGGCAGTTTTATTTCAGGACATTTTAGCGCCATCTTCTGAACTGGAGAGTCGAAGTTAAAAATTCACCATTAGATGACGCGATCCAAAAGTCATGATTGTCGTCTTCCACGTTTACCAGTCGTAACCTCTTTGTGCGACTTTTTACAAATCATTGAGAGCGCTTTCAATTTTGAAAATTCCCGATTTATTTAGTCTGACATACTGCAATTCCGAAATTCAAGCAGAAACTGCCACAAAGTGACTCGTTAAATAATTGCAAGAATGGTGAATCTGTAGATTTTATCAGAAAGGCGACCTGGTGCTAAAACTTAACTGTAGCTTGTTAATGTTTTTGATGAAGACAGCTTTTGACTTCAGTAAATATAATTTCTAAATGCTGCAAATTTAACAAATGATTCTTTCCAGTTCGTTTTTAGCGGGTGGGCGGCACTCTCCTGTTGGAACGGAGGTTTGTTTTTCGAAACAATTGAAACATAATAAATACATAAATCCCCCCCCCCCCCCAAGATGTTGACCCTCCAACAAAAAAATGGATAGATAACACCAACAACTTTAAAGGATCAACTGTGAAGCCTTGTTTTATTTTGGATCCCATAAGCACTTACTCACAAGAGTTCAAGTTTCTTGACAATTTATTTGAAATGTAATTTCCTGCTGCTCTTGCCATCAATACATTTGTTTGTCCAACAATGACAAGAGACTCATTTATCGTACACTGCAGGTGAATGCTTTTATCGCCAGCTGATGCTGAATGATCATGAAACTTAAGTTTCAGACTGAGCAGGGAAAATGTTTCTTCCCAGTGTATCTTCTTATGTGTGCTGTTAAATTGCCTTTTACAGAGAATTTTTTCCCGCAAACTGAGCAGGCAAAAGGTTTCTCGCCAGTGTGTGTTCTGCTGTGCCTTAATAAACTATCCTTCACAGAGAAGCTTTTACCACAAACTGAGCATACAAAAGGTTTCTCGCCAGTGTGCTTTCGTGCATGTGTTCTCAAATGTCCTTTTTCAGAATATGTCTTACCACAAACTAAACAGCCAAAAGGTTTCTCTCCAGTGTGTGTTCTTGAGTGACTTATTAAACTATCCTTAACAACAAAGCTTTTACCACAAATTGAGCAGACAAAAGGTTTCTCGCCGGTATGCTTTCTCATGTGAACTTTTAAACCCCACTTTGAACCAAAAGTCTTCCCACACTGAGAACATTCCGAGCGTTTCTTGCGAGCGCGATATGTCCCGTCACCTTTAGAACGTTCACCATCATCGGTGTGAGAAGTGTGTGACGTCATGTCGTCACTATCTGACAGCGGAGCGAAAAGGCTGTCTGCTTGAGAGCCTTCATAGTTGTCTTCATCACTTTCTTCACTCTTCACAGCGACAGGGGTCAGTGGAAACTTTGTGATGTCTGCCTCTTGCTCTTCCACTTTTACGTGAGGGGTTTGTGGCTGGTCAAGAGGAAGGTCGACATCACTGATGTCTGCCGGACACAAAAAGACAAACACAGAAGGTTTGTTTGTTCGAGTTAAGCGTCGCTTCGTCTTGCTCATTCGGCAGTTGTGATTGATCTATCTTTCTATCTAGCCATCCATCTTTACCTTGCTGAAAGGGTCATGCAATCAAGCCTTTGGCTCAAGGGAAAAAAATGCAAAGACCCTTGGTACAACTAGAGTGTGGAGCCAATTTATAGTACAAATGAGCAAGAAGTGAACGAACCTGCACGGTAAGGCTTCTCGGAAACAGAGTCCAGTGGTTGGCGTTGTCGTTCGCTGTCCGCCTCTTTCTGTCCGCAAAGAACCTCCTCATTCTCTTCTTTCACACGTCTTTCACACATTTCCCGCGGTGATCACAGCACTTGACGCTCAAGTTTGATCTCTACTGAGCGATTTGCAGATGACAGGCGCGCCTCTTCGTCGGCAGATCGTAAGCTAGGCTAAAATGAGCTAGGCTGAGACATTTCACGTACACTGAGACGAGTTTATCGAGACGCTTACATTTAATTAAAAATGTTTTACTCCTGCCAAGTCGTGTCGGGAAGTAGCGTATCAAGGCGGCACGTTTGCGACTATTTCAGAAAAAAAGGTGAGTAGAGGGACGCTATTTTTGTCGTGGGTACGTAGCCTTGTTGACATTCAATGCATTGTCCCGCCCACTCCCTGACGTCAAGGTTCGACACGAGATAATGCTCTCGGACGTCGCAGTTTGATTTACGTCGGTCTTGTTTTTACAAATTATATTACAAGGCGACTCGAGAAAGATTAACAGAGGGGGAGAAAAATCATAATGCGAAGCCCCCCCCCCCCAAGTCTCATTAGCCCTTGATTGTCGCAAGCTAATTAAGTTTTTATTTATATAGCATTTCTCACAGAGTACTGGCAAAGCGATTCACCTTATTAAAATACAGAATCACAGCCGTTTTACATTTTTACTAAATACGAATTTAAAAAGAAAACGAATGTACTAAACATACGCGCACCTTGGTGACTCATCCTCCAAAACAGTCGAGGGCGGTGATGCGTGTTATGATGCCAGCCGTTCTTTGACACAATGAAGAAGAAAACGACGAAATACGGTACAAAATGTCCCCCAGACCTTGCCGTATTAAAAGCTTCTTACATTCACACTGAACTTACTTAAGTTTCCACACAGGACATTTACTATTTACAGAAGTAAAAATATTAATTAAATTTTCGTTTCCGGGTAAACTCCTCTCGGGTACTCTTTGAATCTTCTCAAACTAGATGAGCGTCATTTAGCTTAGCTTGCTGGCTGCTAACAAAGAGACGCATCTGTGAAAGAATAACACATCGCTCAGCACAGTTCAAGTGTGAGCATAAAGTGTTGTGATTGCCGTGGGAAAATGTTTGCAACGCGTGTGAAAGAGGAACTTTGTGGCACAAACGAAGAAGCCTCGCGTTGTGTTACACAGAGAAGGTTTGTTCACTTCTTTCGAGTATTCATGTTCACCCATCTCCTTCCCGGGGCATTGAATGGATCGCAAATGGGCCGCTTCGGGTTTCTTCGAAGAAATTTCACAATGTTCATACTTGGCTGAGCAAAGTTTGACTTCAACAAACTGCTTGTGTTTGTCTTCTGCCTTGCAGATATCGCTGAAGAGCATCTGCATACTGAGCAGCAGGAGCCACAGTCAACTTACATTAAAGTGGAAAAGGAGCCATTTTCTTAAAAGCTCACAGCGTGCCTTAAAATCCAGTGCGCCTTGTGTGTGGTCATTACGGTAATATGTCGACCCCAAAATGGCGCCTTGCTGGAGACATGCAATAGAACACGGAAATGGAATAGCGGCAAGAGAGTTCAACGTTAACGAGTCAATGTTATAACTTGCTGTTGGTTTAGTGAACTGTGTCGTTGCTTTATAAATAAGTTTTTGTTGCAGCTCCGAAAAAAGGAGAGCTGTGGTGTTGGTTTTTTAAAACGCACACTTTATTAATGGTTTTCACAGTCTCAACAAATACCGGTACCTCTTTGTCTGTCTGTCTCCGTGCCTTCTCTTCTTCCGTTCACTCGAGAGGCGTTCATGACCGCCTCCGAAAAACGTAAATTAACGATTACTTGAATGAAACTACGAAAATTGAAAATAATGCATCAAAACAGAAAATCAAGCGAGGAAATCACAAAATAAATTATATAGCCCCCCCTTACAGAATTTATTTTGTGATATCCTCATTTGTGAATACACAACAAAGGAATAAATAACAAACACTTCTGAGACAGTCCAGTCATTTTACTGACATCTTATCCTTCTGTTTGCATTTCCTTGAGTGTAGCCCCATCTAGTGGATGCATTGTAAATTGCGTTTTAAAACCCGGTGCGTCCAGTACGGTATATGAAAACAATTACTGTACAAAATAGGCCATTCATTGAAGGTGCGCCTCATAATTCAGTGTGCCTTTTAATGTGGAAAATACGGTACTAACAAGAGTTCAAGTTTCTTTACAATTTATTTGAAATGTAATTTCCTGCTCCTCTTGCCATCAGTACACTTGTTTGTCTCACAATGACAAGAGATTGGTTTATTGAACATTTGGCAAGCCTCCTCGCTGCCCATCTTTAAAACCCGCCTCAAAACTCACTTGTATTCTTTGGCATTTGACTCAGCATGACTCAGATTTCTTCTTCGTTTTGCTGTTGGGTGCTTTCTATGGTCTTTGTTACTGATTTGTTGCTTTACAATAAATGTTAGTTGCTCCATGTACAGCACTTTGTGTGCAGCGATGGCTGTTTGAAAGTCCTCTATAAATACAGTTGAGTTGAGATCGTGCACTCCAAGTGAATGCTTTTATCGCCAGCTGATGCTGAATAAACATGAAACTTCAATTTCAGACTGAGCAAGGAAAATGCTTTATATTAATTTTACCACTTTTGTGTGATGTTAAATTGCATTTTACATAGAATTGTTTCCCACAAACTGAGCAGGCAAAAGGTTTCTCGCCAATGTGTGTTCTTATGTGTGCTGTTAAATTGCTTTTTACAGAGAATTTTTTCCCGCAAACTGAGCAGGCAAAAGGTTTCTCGCCGGTGTGCGTTCGCGTGTGAGTTAATAAACTATCCTTCACAGAGAAGCTTTTACCACAAACTGAGCATACAAAACGTTTCTCACCAGTGTGTGTTCTTACGTGTACTGTTAAATTGCTTTTTGCAGAGAATTTTTTCCCACAAAATGAGCATACAAAAGGTCTCTCGCCAGTGTGCTTTCGTGAATGTGTTCTTAAATGTCCTTTTTCAGAATATTTCTTACCACAAACTAAACAGCCAAAAGGTTTCTCTCCAGTGTGTGTTCTTGAGTGACTTATTAAGCTATTCTTTACAACAAAGCCTTTACCACAAATTGAGCAGACAAAAGGTTTTTCGCCTGTATGCTTTCTCATGTGAATTATTAAACCCCACTTTGCAACAAAAGTCTTCCCACACTGAGAACATTCTGAGCGTTTCTTGCGAGCACGACATGTCCAGTCACCTTTCGAGCGTTCACCATCATCGGTGTTAGAAGAGTGTGATGTCAAGTCGTCACTATCTGACAGCGGAGCGAAAAGGCTGTCTGCTTGAGAGCCTTCATAGTTGTCTTCATCACTTTCTTCACTCTTCACAGCGACAGGGGTCAGTGGAAACTTTGTGATGTCTGCCTCTTGCTCTTCCACTTTTACGTGAGGGGTTTGTGGCTGGTCAAGACGATGGTCGACATCACTGATGTCTGCCGGATACAAAACGACAAACACAGGTTTGATTGCTCGAGTTAAGCGTCGCCTCGTCTTGCTCATTCGGCAGTTGTGATCTTTATCCTTGCTGAAAGGGTCATGCAATCAAGCCTTGAGGTCAATGTAAAAAAAATGCAAAGACCCTTGGTACAGCTAGAGTGTGGGGCCAGTTTATAGCACAAGTGAGCAAGAAGTGAACGAACCTGCACGGTAAGGCTTCTCGGAAACAGAGTCCAGTGGTTGGCGTTGTCGTTCGCTGTCCGCCTCTTTCTGTCCACAAAGTACCTCCGCGTTCTCTTCTTTCACACGTCTGTCACACATTTCCCGCGATGATCACAGCACTTTACGATCAAGTTTGATCTCTGCTGAGCGATTTGCAGATGGCAAGCGCGTCTCTTTGTTGGCAGGATAGCAAGCTAGGCTAAAATGAGCTAGGCCGAGACACTTCACGTACACTGAGACGAGTTTATCGAGACGCGAACGTTTCATTAAAAATGTTTTCCTCCAATCAAGTAGTGTCGGGAAGTCGCGTATCAAAACCGTACGTTTGCGACTATTTCAGAAAAAAAGGTGAGTCGATGGAGGCTATTTTTGTCGTGGAGACGTAGCCTTGTCGATGTTCTTTTTTTTCCCCAACAATCTTTATTGAACAAGTCAAATTACAATTCACAGAAAATTCAGCGAACAAGTTCCTAATACATATGTAAGCTTATGCTATATTATTAATAATTATCATTTTATGTTTGAGCATCATATTATTTCATGTTAAGAATACCTAAATTATATTCTGTTGTTTAAAAATGAGACGTGTTTTTATGTTGATAGGTTCTGATTGGCTGTTGAAGTAAGAGAAGCAGGAAGTTGTTTTAGTTACGAGGAGAGTTGTGTTCTCGAACGTGCTGCGGTGCAAACGTCTTTTTTTCCCCTTTGAATAAAACTGCATTGAAAGGATTCCATCTCTCCTTTTGCCGTTCGTAAAGTAGAGCTGTCCACTAAAAACAACGAACCTCTCAACTTACACATACACAGTATAAAGAGAGATAAACAAAAAGATGAGCCAGAGGATTTCAAACGAAGATTCCAAATAAAGACCATCAAGTCAGAGTTCTAACTGCTTTCTCGTTTTTGGAAACCATAATAGAATTCAAATATCGCTTCGATTCTGCTTCAAAAATTAAGAAAATAGGTTTTGAGCGACTACATCTTGACTTGTGGATATGGAACTTAGCGAGAATATTATTAAATTTATAATGAAGACTTGTTTAGTCTTTTTTCCTCATTTTTGAAGTAGCCAAACTGAATATTTTTCCAGTATCGCATAAAGTCAGAGTCAATACGATCAATGATAAAACGGGATATGGCTTTCCAAAATTTGTTGGTATACGGCAGTGGTTCTCAATTATTTTCTGTCATGCCCCCTCCAAGGAAGAGGAAAACATCTCGCCCCCGCACGACTATAAATACTATCATTTGTCTATAAAATTGTTATAAGTACACCTTTGCATCACACTGTATCCTTATTAACGTATAAGAGAATAAAGAAAGAAAGAAATATGGACCAACTTACAAAAAAGAATAGCTTTAGTATTCTTTGTTGTATCACTTGTATTCTTTGGCATTTGACTCAGCATGACTCAGATTTGTTCTTGGTTTTGCTGTTCGGTGCTTTCTATCGTCTTTGTTACTGATTTGCTGCTTTACAATATATGTTAGTTGCTCCATGTACAGCACTTTGTGTGCAGCGATGGCTGTTTGAAAGTCCTCTATAAATACAGTTGAGTTGAGTTGAGATCGTGCACTACAAGTGAATGCTTTTATCGGCAGCTGATGCTGAATAGTCATGAAACTTAAATTTCAGACTGAGCAAGGAAAATGCTTTATATTAATTTTACTTCTTATGTGTGATGTTAAATTGCATTTTACATAGAATTCTTTCCCGCAAACTGAGCAGGCAAAAGGTTTCTCGCCAGTGTGTGTTCTTATGTGGACTGTTAAATTGCCTTTGACAGAGAATTTTTTCCCGCAAACTGAGCAGGCAAAAGGTTTCTCGCCGGTGTGCGTTCGCGTGTGCCTTGTCAAACTTCCCTTCACTTGGAATCGTTTACCACAAACTGAGCAGACAAAAGGTTTCTCGCCAGTGTGTGTTCTGGTGTGCCTTAATAAACAACTCTTCACAGAGAAGCTTTTACCACAAAGTGAGCATACAAAAGGTCTCTCGCCAGTGTGCTTTCGTGAATGTGTTCTTAAATGTCCTTTTTCAGAATATTTCTTACCACAAACAAAACAGCCAAAAGGTTTCTCTCCAGTGTGTGTTCTTGAGTGACTTATTAAGCTATTCTTTACAACAAAGCCTTTACCACAAATTGAGCAGACAAAAGGTTTTTCGCCTGTATGCTTTCTCATGTGAATTATTAAACCCCACTTTGCAACAAAAGTCTTCCCACACTGAGAACATTCTGAGCGTTTCTTGCGAGCACGACATGTCCAGTCACCTTTCGAGCGTTCACCATCATCGGTGTTAGAAGAGTGTGATGTCAAGTCGTCACTATCTGACAGCGGAGCGAAAAGGCTGTCTGGTTGAGAGTCTTCAGAGTTGTCTTCATCACTTTCTTCACTCTTCACAGCGACAGGGGTCAGTGGAAACTTTGTGATGTCTGCCTCTTGCTCTTCCACCTTTACGTGAGGGGTTTTTGGCTGGTCAAGAGGACGGTCGACATCACTGATGTCTGCCGGACACAAAAAGACAAACACAGAAGGTTTGATTGCTCGAGTTAAGCGTCGCCTCGTCTTGCTCATTCGGCAGTTGTGATCTTTATCCTTGCTGAAAGGGTCATGCAATCAAGCCTTGAGGTCAATGTAAAAAAAATGCAAAGACCCTTGGTACAGCTAGAGTGTGGGGCCAGTTTATAGCACAAGTGAGCAAGAAGTGAACGAACCTGCACGGTAAGGCTTCTCGGAAACAGAGTCCAGTGGTTGGCGTTGTCGTTCGCTGTCCGCCTCTTTCTGTCCACAAAGTACCTCCGCGTTCTCTTCTTTCACACGTCTGTCACACATTTCCCGCGATGATCACAGCACTTTACGATCAAGTTTGATCTCTGCTGAGCGATTTGCAGATGGCAAGCGCGTCTCTTTGTTGGCAGGATAGCAAGCTAGGCTAAAATGAGCTAGGCTGAGACACTTCACGTACACTGAGACTAGTTTATCGAGACGCGAACGTTTCATTAAAAATGTTTTCCTCCAATCAAGTAGTGTCGGGAAGTCGCGTATCAAAAACGTACGTTTGGGACTATTTCAGAAAAAAAGGTGAGTCGATGGAGGCTATTTTTGCCGTGGAGACGTAGCCTTGTCGATGTTCTTTTTTTTCCCCAACAATCTTTATTGAACAAGTCAAATTACAATCACAGAAAATTCAGCGAACAAGTTATTAATACATATGTAAGCTTATGTATATTATTAATTATTATCATTTTATGTTTGAGCATCATATTATTTCATGTTAAGAATACCTAAATTATATTCTGTTGTTTAATAATTGCTTAGACATGTTTTTATGTTGATAGGTTCTGATTGGCTGTTGAAGTAAGAGAAGCAGGAAGTGATTTTCGTTCCGAGGAGTGTTGTGTTCTCGAACGTGCTGCGGTGCAAACGTCTTTTTTCCCCTTTGAATAAAACTGCATTGAAAGGATTCCATCTCTCCTTTTGCCGTTCGTAAAGTAGAGCTGTCCACTAAAACAACGAACCCCTCAATTTACACATACACAGTATAAAGAGAGATAAACAAAAAGAAGAGCCAGAGGATTTCAAACGAAAATTCAAAATAAAGAGCATCAAGTCAGAGTTTTAACCTCTTTCTCGTTTTTTGGAAACCGTAATAGAATTCAAATATTGCTTCGATTCTGCTTCAAAATTAAGAAAAGAGCGACTACATCTCGACTTGTGTATATGGAACTTAGCGAGAATATTAAATGTATAATGAAGACTTGTTTAGTCTTTTTTTCCTCATTTTTGAAGTAGCCAAACCGTATACGTATTTTTCCAGTACAGCGTAAAGTCAGAGTCAGTACGATCAATAATGAATCGGGATTTAGCTTTCCAAAAATTTGTTGGTATACGGGCATTGCCATAACAAGTGAATCATCGTCTCTGTGATCCTGAATAAAATACAAGTCTGAAAACGGTGGTAATGCTTTGCATTTATTCTAGAAAATACCACAAAGCGATCGTAGTTCCATAGGCCCACCCAAACGATAATATACTCCCACAGGATTCTCGAATTACTAAAACAATTCACACATCTATCAATCTTCATTTATTTCAAAAACGGATTCAATTTGTAATTGGTCATCAGTTTTAAATCTACTGCAGTAATGACTTTCGCCAGGAGAGGTCACTCTAACGGAAGCGTCAAGAACGGTACCCATTTTCGAAGCAATTCGTCACAAAACATGTATTTGCCCATCACTTGTAGTTGTGAATGTCAGAAATGTTCTTTTTGATTTGGTAAAAGTGAATGACGGGTTTATCTGCAACACATCCAGTCAAACTGCTTCATGTTTGGAAGGCTCTCCAGCCGGGAGAACGCACTGATCCTGACATTCTCTCATAGCCCACCAATGAGAACGGGACATCGACGCGCATCATCCAATGGTAAACGACCACACGAGCTGTGGGCGGAGCAAGGCGCAGAGCGTCGACACTGACATCACATAGCTAAAACAAACTAAGCGTCTACTCAAAAAAAAAAAAAAAAAAAAAAAAACTCAGCGTCGACTCGGCGCTTTTTGAAAAGAATGCTTCTTGAATTCGTTTGAACGTATCGAAGACTTGACTCTCTATGTTCGTCACTACTCAACCTGAGTGAAAACAACATTTATTCAAGTTTCGTGTCCAGATAAACTCGTCGCGGCGCACGTTGAAGCATCTCAGGCTAGCTTATCTTGGTCGAACATGCTAGCCGTGAACAAAGAACCGCCTTTGTTCGCTCCACATCGCGAAGCAGAGATCAAGTGTGATTCTAAAGTGGAGTGATGACCATCGTGTGAAAATGTTTGCAAAAAGTGTGAAAGACGAGTACGAGGAGCGACTTTGTGGAACAGAAGATATTAACGAGCCACAACGTCAACCAGTGGACGTTGTTTTCAAGAAGCCTCAAGCTGAACCACAGAGAACAGGTTGGCTCACTTCTGACACTCTTTACGGTGCCATCTATATTCAACTAAATTCGCAGAGGTTGCGAAAGTACTCCTACTCCATACTTCAATGGAAGCACAGACATGTGTGCAATGAAAAATAGTATTGGAAATGTACAAAGACTGATTCAACTCATTAAGACCCCGAAAGACCCGTTTTGATAACCGAAAAAAACTGATGTGCACACGAAATACTTTCCGTCTTTTTATCATCTTATAATGTGGTTGTTCTGACAAGAAAAAAAAGCCACTGCACAAATTATTTATTTATAATTATCTATTATCGCATCAGATACTCGGTAGTTTTTTCCCGTGACGTCACACATATCACGTTATTCACTGTAAATATTTAGCCCCATTTTACTGTTTTACGTCCTGGTTCAGTATCCTTGAAAAATATAAATACAAATATGAAATTGTGAAAGTGAAGTTAATCAGTCAACCAGTCTTTGCATTTCACTGACCGTCATTTCCCCGTATACGTTCATTCAAGATTTCATCAAGATAACGATGTGGGCTTGATGGTGCCCCCTTGTGGCAAAATGTGGATCCCTGAGAACCCATGTCAACGGGTTTGTCTTTATGTTCGCGGTACAATGAGTAACACATCAAATATATTTCACCCTAACATGTAAGAATCATAACACAGGAGATCACAGCCACAACAGCAGACTTGGCAGAGAAAAGCTTGACTTAACCAAACCATTTGTCTGTTTACTTGTGTGTGTCAGACAGCAGTGAAGAAAATCATCACAGTGTGCCGCGGCAGCAGTTTGAGTCCCCTCAGTTTAAACAGGAAGAGGAGCAAGAGCCCACCCACGTCAAAGAAGAAGTGGACGAGGCTGAGATCACCAAGTTTCCATTGACTGTCATTGTGAAGAGTGAAGATGATGATGGCGATGAAGCCCACTTTGGAGGATCCCAAGCTGACAGCCTCTTAGCGCCACTCTCAGATAGTGACGACATAACGTCGCACTCTTCTGCTGCTGATAATAATGAGCGCTCGAAAGTTGACGTGACATGTCACGCCAAAGGGAAACGCTTGGAATGTTCTCAGTGTGACAAAACGTTTGCCAAAGAGTATTTGTTAAAAATACACACCAGAACACACACTGGCGAGAAACCTTTTGCCTGCTCAGTTTGCGGCAAAAGATTCACTCAGAAGGGACAGTTAATCGGACACACAAGAACACACACTGGGGAGAAACCTTTTGCCTGCTCAGTTTGTGGGAAAACATTCTCGGAAAAGGGACACGTAAGAGTCCACGCGAGAACACACACGGGAGATAAACCTTTTGCCTGCTCAGTTTGTGGTAAAAAATTTGCTGAAAAAGGCAGTTTGATCAGGCACACAAGAACACACACTGGTGAGAAGCCTTTTGCCTGCACGGTTTGTGATGAAAGATTCTCGGTCAAGGTGGGATTGACGAATCACTTCAGAAACCATACTGGTGAAAAACCGTTTGTCTGCTCAGTTTGTGGTAAAGGATTCACTCAAAAGGGACATTTAATAACACATAAAAGGACACACACGGGGGAAAAAATTTTTGCCTGCTCAGTCTGCGGTCTCCGGGTAACTCAAAAGATTCATTTAACAACTCACATGCGAATCCACACCGGAGAGAAACCTTTTCCCTGCTTAATTTGTGAGAAAAGATTCACAGAAAAGGGAAGCTTAATTAGGCACACAAGAACACACACTGGAGAGAAACCTTTTGCCTGCCAAGTTTGCGCTCAAAGATTTTCTGACAGGGGACATTTAAAAACACACTTGAGAACACACACTGGAGAGAAACCTTTTGCCTGTCCAGTTTGTGGGAAGGGATTTGCAGAAAAGAGAAACTTGACAACTCACTCGAGGACGCACACCGGAGAGAAACCTTTTGCGTGCACTGTCTGTCCATTAACTTTCATTGATCGTTCTGGATTGAATAAACACATGAGAACACACACTGGTGAGAAACCGTTCGCTTGTGGTGTGTGTGATGAAAGCTTTAGTTTTAATTATCAGTTGATCAAACACAAGTGTGCTGGCGGGAAGAGCGGCAGCAAATGAAGGCTCAGATTTATTGTAAAGAGACGTAGACTCCGTGTGGTGAACTGTTGAAAAGCAGATTTGTGATTCTGAAGAAAATGTTCAGCAACCACGTACAGTCGAGAGTATTATGCAAAAGTCTTGGGCCACCGCAGGATTTGCTTTCGCGGTTGCATCATAATCATGTATCACTTGAAGGCCACTGAACTACGAATAAAAGCGAAGGCAATGAATGGAGCCAAGTGTTTGGGTTCATTTGTTAGCCGACATCTGGTTCATTGAAGACAAAGAACAGACGGGGCTTGCAAATATGACACTAGGCGCACATGATTCCATTGACCTACAGCAGGGGTGTCCAAAGTCGGTCCTCACGGGCTGCTGTCCTGCCTGTTTTCCAGCTCTCCCAGGAGCAATGCACCTGATTCAAATCATCAGGATCGTTTTAGAGCTGGCTGATGAGCTGATCATCTGAATCAGGTGTGTTGCAGCCGGGAGAGCTGGAAAACAGGCAAGACGGTGGCTCTCCAGGCCCGGAGCTGGACAGGCCTGACCTACAGACATACATCTTTCACAACAGCTGCAGATGTAACAAGCGCTTCACAGAACGGTTAACATAAAATAACAAAAAAATAAGAGAATACAACACATAATGTAGTCATCATAGTGACTTAGAATACATAAAGAATAGATTCCTATTGGTCCTATTTTATTGCATAATCCTGCTAACGGTACAGTGCCATGAAAAAGTAGTTCCCCTTTTCTCAAATGTGTATTTTTTTCCATCGTTTCCCCACTTCAGTGTTGTAAACAATTGTCAATGTCCGACAAAAATGACAAAACGTTATTTTTCATATTTAAAACTCCCCAAACATAATTACATGTGTGTATGTGTGTGTGTCTTTGTGTTAGTGAGAGACGAGTGGCCTATTTTCCGCCGCATGATGTCACTTTCAGCACGATTCGACCGCACGTGGTGTCCAAATTCTCATGAAGCCTGTCCAAATTCGTCATGGTTTACGGTCCACAGATGCTACATGAGGAGGAGCAAACACATTCATTCCAAAGGCAGACATTAAACAGCATCATGTGTGAATCATCAACATTTATTCAGGATCACAGATACATGTTAACAGCTTACCACAACCACTGAACCTTGACAAGTTTGGTAGAAATACAATTGAATTGAGAGTTGAGAAAGTCCAAGTTTCCTCAGTTTTCTTGATGTCCATCAGGTTCATGAAACGGCTGCTCTTCTCGTCTGCATGCACAATTCTGTCTCTTAAGTTGATGATTCCATCAATTCTTTGACAACACACATGACAATTGGCTGGTTCCTTGCCGGTATAAATTCTTGTTTGTTGTTGTTGCAGACCTTAATATGAATCTTTCAGCAAAAAACAAAAACAAAATCTAAGCATGGAAACACGTTTTACTCAGTGTGCGATCTCATGTGTTTCGCCAACCCTGAGTGATCACGGAAACTCAAACTGCAAACTGAGCATTCAAAAGGTTTCTCTCCAGTGTGTGTTCTTGTGTGAATTCTTAAATGTCCGCTTGTAGAGAATCCTTTCCCACAAAGTAAGCAGGCAAAAGGTTTCTCTCCAGTGTGTGTTCTTTCATGTGTTCTTAAATGTCCCTTTGTTGCAAATCTTTTCTCACAATAGGAGCAGGCAAAAGGCTTCTCGCCGGTGTGTGTTCTTGTGTGATTTGTCAAACTAATCTTCTGAGCGAATCTCAGTCCGCATACTTCACAAGCAAAAGGTTTTTCCCCCGTGTGTGTTCTTGTGTGCGTTCTTAAATGTCCACTGACAGAGAATGTTTTACCACAAATTGAGCAGACAAAAGGTTTCTCTCCAGTGTGTCTTCGTGTGTGTGCGATTAAATGTCTCTTTCCAGAGAATCTTTGACCACACATTGAACATGCAAAAGGTTTCTCTCCAGTGTGGGTTCTCATGTGATTTGTTAAAGTAACTTTCTGAGCGAATCCAAGATTGCATAAGGAGCATGCAAAAGGTTTCTCCCCAGTGTGTGTTCTTGTGTGTGTTATTAAATGTCCGTTTAACGAGAAAGTTTTGCCACAAACTGGGCAGGCAAAGGGTCTCTCTCCAGTGTGCGTTCTTGTGTGTCTTTTCAATGATGACATGTTGAAAAACAGTTTGTCACACTGGGAACATTTCGCGTTCTTGTTGTTAGCGCGACTTGTCAAACGACCTTTCGAGTGTTCATCTTCATCATCATTTCCATCATCAGTGTCAGAAGAGCGTGACATGATATCATCACTCTCCGATAGTGGTGCCAAGAGGTTGTCTGCTTGTGAGCCTTCACAGCGGTCGACATCACCTTTCTCATCTTCATTTTCACTCTTATTGGCAGTCAATGGAAATTTGGTCATTTTAACTCCCCGCTCGAGGTCTTGAATGATGTGGGGTTCCAGATCCTGCTGCTCAGGATGAAGATATTCTTTACTGATGTCTGCAGGACACAAAAGGACAAATACACATGGTTTGCTGAAGCTTTACTCAGTCAAGTCTCACATTTTGACGTGAATGCTGTGTGTCAAATTGATGACACATGATGTTTTTGGGCAATGTCTATCAGGAGCGTGTGTTTGAGAATCACATTAATTTTTCTTTCACAGGGGAATTACAAAATAATTTTAACGTGCAATATTGTAACTTAAGGAAGCCCTGTTCTCCACCGTGCCTGCGTGGGCTTTCTCTGGCTACTCCGATTTCCTCCCACATTCCAAAAACATGCGTGATAGGGCCAGCGTCCAGCAAACTTTCAGATAGTGGTCCTAGGCCACTGCGAATGTGCAACCCAGAATTATATTTCAGTCTGCAATTAAACGCGGCGACAGGATATGTTAAATGTAAAATGCCCAAAAAGTTCAAAGCACCTACGCACCTTTCCCGCCACTCTGCAAATATGATAAAGACAGGAGATTGTTGTCACATAAACCACCAGTAGGTGAAAACGGGCCATCATAGAGGTGGGTTGTCACACTCCTATCCTGCCATAAAAGGGGGCAGTCTCCTTTTACGTTATTTTGGATCCTTCTCTTGACTGGTGAGGTTGAACTATTACATCTCGGTAGGAGCTCTGCGGACCCGACTTGTGCTGAAAGAAGTAACGACAATATTGCAAAGAAAAGACTACCAGAACATCTGAACGTTACTTGCAGCTCGTCAAAGGCACTTAAAATGCACTGGTGAATGCAGACTCCCACTGAACACAAGTTTGAATGTGATTGATATTTTTCGACTGAGTCCAACAGGTCATACTGTAGTCATGGAAGGAAATCCTGTGCACGAAGTAGAGGAATTTTAAGGATTAAGAACAAAGGTATTTTACACAAATGACGAAAGCTTTTTGCAGTGAAGTAGGGCAAAGCATTCAGAATGTTAATGGGAAAAAAAGCCCACGAACAAGCTTGTAGGTGGCTAAACTCAAACAAGGTCGACGTAGGGGACTTCAGAAATTATGGGAAGAACGTTGTTATAAATACAGCGTAGTCCCAAACCAAGTGAAAGAAAGAAGTGAACAGACCTTTTCTGTGTGATTCATCCTGGGGCTTTTTGAAAACAGCATCCGGGCCTTGACGTTCGTGGTCGACTTTTGTTCCGCAAAATTCTTCCTCATACTCTTCTTCTTTCGTGCTTTTCGCACACATTTTGAGGCGATAATCACAACACTTTGAAAATGTGCGTGCTCTCGGCTTAGCCACGCGCTCAAAAGAAACGCGTCTCTTCGTTAGCGACGAGCAAGCTAAACTTAGCTAGGCTAAGCTACGAGAGTCAACGAAGCTTCGGCGTTGACGGAGACGAGTTTTTACTGACGATGATATAATGAACGATATATTTCTCTCGTGAAATACTAAAAGACGTACCGTATCGATGTTTCTGTTCAGGATAAATTCTGTAGCAATGATTTCGTGAGGCACAAGGCAAGGCGTGCATTGTTTGGTTTACTCATTCACATCATCTTGGACGTTCGACATCTGGTCCCGCCCACTGCTCGTGTGGTGGCTTACCATTGGACGACGCGTTCTGATGTCCTGTTCTCATTGGTGGGTTGGAGAATTAGTTTGAATTGCTTGACCGTTTAATGGTTGAATGAACAAATTCCTGTTATCCGCAACGGAAAATACAGTAACTCATTTTAACAGGAAGGACCACACTCGCGTGTCCATTTTAGTTACAGCACCACAGTTAGTCACTTCTCACACGAAGTGCTTCACATGATTGAAACGCAGAACGCCCAACATTTTACAGTCAATACAAGGAGGTAATTTTTTTTAAAACACTAATCTTAAATCAAAACAATAAAATCTTTCTGGAATGCTTTTCGATACAAACGTCAGTTTTCAATAACGTCTGCATGCAGACCAGGGTGTACGGTTCACATGCAGTGAGTGCCACAATTTAATGGCGAGACTCGCAAATAGGAGCCAGAAACTTTGTGGTAAAACGTGACGGGACATTTGATTGGTAGAAGTTTGGAAATAGTCAAATGGCAATCATTCAAAAGCCATTTCATGCGACTTAATTGGGAATGGAAAAGTATAATTCAAGCACAATTATAAACATTTAGCTTTGTCATGAGCACAAATCAAGGCAAAATAGACTGCCCCCCTTGCCCACAAATGAAGGGCATTAGTGTACTATTACCATCATTGCATCTTTTCTTTTTTCAAATTTATTTGAGTGGCTACAAACCTCCCACACACACACACACACACACACACACACACACACACACACACACACACACACACACACACAGAAACAAAATCAGTCAACTAAACAGGGGCACACAACACAAAAAAACCACTCATAAATTGGAGCAATCATAGTTCAAGGCACCACTATCAAGTTGCCATTTAATTTTAGTCAGGATTATGATAAAATACCTCCAATTTTGGAAATTGTTGGCTCATTCATATTTATTTTCGATGAATTGACAGTTCACATAATTTCGCAACCCAAGGCTCTTTTTCTTTACTTTTTTTTCCATCTCGCGTGAGAGACCGTAAAAATGATCACCGATGGGACATTGTGACTTTCCAGGAACATTGTAGAGGCGATCAAAATGTGAAACCTGGCAGAGATTTATCAAAATAAAGCATTAACTGTTCTTTCCTAATTATTGTGAGCAATCGTGAACATGATCGGCGTCTTCCCAAAAACAAATATGGTAAACGATTCATAATAACACATCAAGGTTATTTGGGCATATTTGTTATTTCAGAAGTGTCTATCAATCAGTACCCAGGAACTGGCTCTCAGTTATAAAAAGGTTGGTGACCCATGATAGATGGATGGGTGGATTCAATGATTGGCGCTCTTCTCCCCAGCACACTCGTGTTTGTCCATCTGATACTTATAAGCAAATCATTGATCACAGGCACTGCAACCGAATGCTTTCTCACCGGTATGTGTTCTCAAATGTCGAACCAAAGCTGAATTGTCACTGAAGCTGAAGTCGCAGACTGAGCAGGCATAAGGTTTCTCTCCAGTGTGTATTCTTGTGTGCGTTATTAAATGTCCCTTCATGGAAAATTTTTTACCACAAACTAAGCAAGCATAGGGTTTCTCCCCAGTGTGCGTTCTTGTGTGCCTAACTAAACTTCCCTTGACAGAAAATTGTTTTTCACAAACTGTACAGGCAAAAGGTTTCTCTACTTTATGTATCCTCATGTGAGTTGTTAAGTGAGCCCTTTGAGTCAGTCTAAGATCACACACTGGGCAAGCAAAAGGTTTTTCTCCGGTGTGTGTCCTCATGTGATTTGTTAAACTCACCTTTTGAGTTAAGATGAGACCACATACTGAGCAGACAAATGTGTCTTCCCCTGTATGTGTTCTTGTGTGTGCGATCAAATGTCCCTTCTGAGTGAATCTCTTACCACACACCGAGCAGGAAAAAGGTTTCTCTCCAGTGTGTGTTCTTGTGTGTGTTCTTAAATGTCCCTTCATGGAGAACCTTTTTTCACATATTGAACACGCAAAAGGTTTCTCACCGGTGTGGGTTCTTGCGTGTCTTTTCAACGCTGACTTGTTGACAAATGTTTTGTCACACTGAGAACATTTCATGTGCTTGTTGTCAGCGCGACATTTCATCTCACCTTTCAAGTGTTCATGATCAGCGTCAGAGGACTGTGACATTATGTCATCACAATCTGATAGTGGAGCTATGAGGCTGTCTGATTGGGATCCGCCACAGTGATCTCCACCACCTCCTTCCTCGTCATCACCTTCACTTTTTATGACAGTCAACGGAAAGTCGGTGGATTCAGCCTCCTGCTCTTTCTCTTTGATGCAGCAGAGCTCTGGCTCTTCCTCCTCATTCGTTTGAAAGGGTTCCTGTTCCAGCTGCTCAGAAGCAAAATATTCTTCACAGATGTCTACAGGACACAAGAAGAAAAACAAGCATGGTTTGGCAGTCAAGTTTTGCTGAGTCATGTCTCATGCGGTGCCTCTGATGTTGTCTGCTAATTAATTAATTATTTAATTCCAAACCACATACTGTATTAAGCTTACAAAAGATTTTCCCCCAGTATGAGTTCTGGTGTGTTCTATTAATTTGTGCATTTACCGTGAATCCTTTCCCACAAACTGAGCAGGCAAAAGGTTTCTCACACATGTGCGTTCTCCAAAGATTTGTTAAACTGTTTTGTTTTTTTGCATGAATGCAAGATCACACACTGAGCAAGAAAAAGTCATTTTCTCCAGTGTGTTTTTTTGTGTGCTATTAATGTCCCTTCTGAGTAAAAACCTTTACCACAGTCTGAGCAGACAAAACTTTTCTCCCAAGCATGTGTTCTTCTGTGTGTCCTTAAATGTCCCTTCAGAATGGAACTGTTCACATGAACTGAGCAGGCAAAATGTTTCTCCCCTGTGCATGTTCTGATGTGTGCTATGAAATGTGTCTGAGTCTTTTATCACAAACTGAACAGGATTTTTTTTTTCTCTCCCGTCTGTGTTCTTGAATGTCTTTTCAGTGACAACTTGATCAAAAGTTTGGTCACACTGAGGACACTTCAAGTGCTTGTTGTCCATGTGACATGTCATATCACCTTTGGAGTGTCCATCATCATCATTGGTGTCAGGAGAGTGTGATGTTGTGTCGTCACTATCTGATGGTGCTACGAGGTCGTCTGCTTGAGATCCTCTACAATGGCCGTCATCAACTTCTTGATCATCATAATCTTCATTCTTTATGATGGTCAATGGAGAGGTGATGATATCAGCCTACTGCGTTTTTAATGTGGTGCGGCTCCAGCTCCTTCGTCCCTTTAATTTGAGAGGGCTGCAATTCCTCTTCTTTCATTTGGGGGTGCTCGGGCTCCTGCTGCTCGAGGTGAAGACACACCCACGCAGGACGCATAAAGACCCTGCCGGGGGAATGTGAGCCAAAGTTGTGGTGGCTCTGTCAGAAGGGGTCCTGGTCCTGTATATTCACGCTATAATAGATGCAATTTGTGCAATTGTATTCATGGCTATAACTGTGTCCTGACCTCACTAAAAAATGCACAAATTCTTATTAATGCTTCAAAGAATAACGCAGTTGCAAAATGACTTGAAAAAAATGCGCGTGCCTACTTTCACGTCCTTCTTATGTATGTATGAGCTATGCGTCTTAGCTCCTTAAGCAGGTCTATAATAAACGTGGCGGGAATGATGTTGAAAATAAAAAGTGGCAACAAAATAATTGAACGCAAGCGAACAAACCTTCTCCGTGTGTTATATGTTGAGGCCTCTTGAAAACAGCGGCCATCCGTTGACGCTCCGCCTTTTTTGTTCCAGAGAGTTCCTCCTCGGACTGTTCTACTTTCACGCGCGTTGCACACATTTTCAAAAGATAATCAACACTTCATACTCAGACTCGTTCCCTTGCTGAGCGTTGTGTGGCTAACAAGCGCCTCTCTAGTTAGCAGCTAGGAAGCTAAGCTAACTCGAGAAGGTCCTACGTCTGTCGGGACGAGTTCATAACGAAAACACGTAGCGATGTTTTACAACAGTACAGCTCGGACTGCGTCTTGGGCTTAGTCTGTCCAGTACGAATACAGGAAGAGATACGAAATATAGCCCCGTGTCAAAAAGTGTTTAGCACCCCTCAAAAAGTGTCTGGAGCGCTGGAATGGAATTCGGACGGCAAGTCCACTTGGACAAACTACGTGCTGGCGCTACGATTATAACATTCGAAAACAAACGACGAATTGAACAAACAGTTTAGGCGAATACGCACGGAATTAATGTTTCGTGGTTGCATGGGTTGTGTTCGAAATTCAACCACTGCTTACACTCTAATCGCCAGTTCCTATTACGAATGAACGTCTCCACAAACAGATTCTCCAAACTCTCTAACATGAATTTACTAATAAAAGTGCTTTTTGCATTTGTACGTAGCTCCTCTCTCCCAATGTTAAATGCCAGGCGGAACGTAAGGTCCAGAAACCCAGCAAGGTTTATGTTCGCCTCGAAGTGGACTGACCGGCGATCAAAGGGAGCCCCCTCGTGGCTACTAACCAGAAAACCCGCAACTTTTGGTAAAATTCACACTAATAATCCAAAATACGAGTTTCTGGGACCTGACCAATCGATACAGGCCACCTCTTACGCAAAGAAAAACGGGATAGGCTGCAGCTCACCTTTGACCCCATTGAGGATAATCGTAACGTGAACGGACGGACGGATGTGTGTCATCAGTTTTAGACTATGAAAAAAAAAAATTATTTGGAAATTGACCAACTTGGAAACATACACTATAATTACCGGTACATGATTGCAATTTATTTAATATACATTTCTAGGCAACGTTGCATGTTTTGTATACAATAAAACAGGTAAACAAAACATATCAGGCCACTTTGTAACCCAGCGCATTCATAAACATCTTCTCATTGATCGAAGGGGTCATGAATATGTTTTCTTGACAGAACCAAGTACAGATCAAGATTTGGCGCTATGATGTTGATTCATGTCATGAATGCATGAAAACAAGCATCAACGCAAAGCCCAAATGGCTGAATCAAAGAGAACAAGTACAATTCAGCTTAGTTGCATTGAGCCTCGATCAAAATTGGACATTTTCCCGGTTTCAACATTTGTATTTGATTCGGCCTTATATTCCGGATACACTTTTAGAGCTTGTTTTTTTTTTCCTGTCACAGTTTATTTAAAGCTTCATTACTTGCTGCTCTTTTTACCAGGACACTTGTGTCTCTTGATTTGATCCTTCCGAGAGAATCTTTTCTCACAAGCGTTGCAATTGAACGGCTTCTCGCCGGTGTGAATTCTTGTATGTGTTTTCAAAGTGCACCTTTGAGCAAATTTTTTCTGGCAAATTGAGCAGGTAAACCGTTTCTCCCCAGTGTGCGTTCTCATGTGTTTCACCAATTTCGAACGTTCACTGAAACTGAAAGTGCAGACGGAGCAGGAAAAAGGTTTCTCGCCAGTGTGTATCCTTGTGTGTGTTTTTAATTGTCCCTTGATAGAGAATCTTTTACCGCAAAATGGGCAGGCAAAAGGTTTCTCACCTGTGTGCGTTCTCATGTGAGTTGTTAAATTAATCTTTTGAGCTAATCTAATACCACACACCATGCAAGAAAAAGGTTTTTCCCCAGTGTGTGTTCTCCCGTGTCTGTTCAAATGTCCCTTCTCCGCAAATCTTTTCCCGCAATCTGAACAACTGAAAGGTTTTTCCCCTTCGTGACTTCTCACGTGAACTTTCAAATTCCACTTGGAGCTAAAAGTTTTCCCGCACTGAGAACACTGCCAGCGTTTGTCACTAGCGTGGCATGTCTTTTCGCCTTTTGAGCGCTCATCGTCGTCATCGGTGCCAGGCTGTGACCTGTCGTCAGTCCCTGTGAGGAGAGCTACGGCGCCGTCTTCTTTTGAAACCCCGCGGTGGTTTCCGTCACATTCCTCACCCTTCACCCTGGCCAAAGTCAATGGAAACTTGGCAACATCGGCCTCCTGCTCTTCCTCCTTAATGCGGGACGGCCGTGGTTCCCGCTGCTCAGGACCAAGATAGTCTTCACTCATGTCTGCAGGACACAGAAAAGCAAACACACACATTTTGGTAAAGTCTGCTGAAATGAATACCACACAAACAATTGTATGTTTTTGTATTTTCGCAGAGTAGAACTTGTCAGCATTCGCAGGGGGACTAGGAGAATAATTTGGGACCATTTCTCTTAAGAAAACTGTTGCAGTGCAGCAAAATTCCTGTCTAGAGTGAAAAGCTCTTCTTAGGTTGTGCCAAGCAACAATGTTGTGGTCAGGACTCAATACATAAAGTTGTGTGAAACTGGAACATTTTCAACAAGTATCTCAAAAAGTCTTGATGATCATTAGTCCAGAGTTAAACAAATTGCCTATAAATGGAGAACGTTGAGCATTGTTGCTTCTTCTACCGTGAAGTGGAAAGTGCAGAATACATTTTCTCACGTTATGTTCATCAGAACAGATATATTTATGGTGAGGTTGGAGACTCGCGTTTATAAATCCTGTATTTGGAACTAGAAAATCAGCTGTTTTCACAGTCGTCAACAATCAAAATGTGAAATCTTTGCTCCACGAACAGAAAAGAAAAACCCAGAGACATGCTCAACCTGATCAGGACCTGTACAAACCTACTCGGGGCTGTACAAAAACAGCGTCCAATCGTTCTCTTCTTTGGTTCCGGAAAGTTCTCCCTCGTTCTCTTCTCTCGCACTTTTTGAACACATTTACAGACGATAATCACAAGACTTTACACTCACCCCTGATCTCTGCTGAGCGATGTATTGAAAACAAACATGTTTCTTTGTTAGCAGCTAGCAAGCTCAGCGTAGCAAAATAGCCCGAGAACCTTCAACGTGCAACGAGACGAGTGTATCCGGATACGAAGCCATAAGTAATGACTTTGTAGTACGTTAAAACGACGTTGGACTCATTTTGTCGCGACTTTACTACGTGCAGAATTAATCTTGGAAGAATACATTGGATGAAGCTCGAGCGGTACAAAACGTCCATGGGAGTAGAGCAGCCACGAAAGTCGTACGGAATCCCACTTGGCCAAATGATGGGTACTCGACGAAAACGTTGGATGTGGCAAAGTACTGTGCTCCGATGGACGAAGCGGCTCGTTAATTTGATGCTTACAACGGATCAACCGTTTAACTCTCAGAGCCAGTTCTCATAGCATTATCATTCACCTAAACTAACGTTTTCATACTATGCAGATTTCCAAAAGGCAAGCGACAGAGAATGCAGTCTGATGGCATTTTCAGTGACAGAAAGTGTGTGTATGTGTGCGTGTGTGTGTGTGTGCGCGTGTGTGTGTGCGTGCGCGCGCGTGTGCATGTGAGATTTATTTCGTCGCTATAAAATCACTTGCACTTGCACTAATTTCGAGGTAGCTCGAACCAGGGCGAATGCTCTGAACATCGAAGCAACAAACCAAGACACAGAGCGGGCATTAATTCCAGTCAATAGATTAAAATATATGGCGTAACCCCAACATTGAGACAGCGTCGTAGTTTGTCCAAGTGACCGTGCCGTACAGCAGTTTCTGTTGCAGCTTCACTTCCGTGTACGGTTTGTGTGAGACAAAGGCGCTCCAATTACAAATCCTCCCTAAATTATTAATGGCATACTAACAATATTGTTAGTACATCGCATGACTACTTTTATTGTCTTTTAAGTCCAAATAAACTCGTCTCTGTGCACGTCGAAGCGTCTCGAGCTAGCTTAGGTTAGCCTGCTAGCCGCTAACAAAGAGACGACTTTGTTGTCCAGATATCACTTGAAGCACAGGTCGCGAGTGATTGTAAAGTGTTCCGGCAATCGTGCGAAAATGTGTGCAAAAAGTGTGAAAGGAGATTACGCGGAGGAACTTTTTGGAACAAAAGAGGAGTGCGAGCGACAACATCAACGACTGGACGCTGCTGTCAAGGAGCCTCGCGATGACAGAGCAGGTTTGTTCACTTCGTCATTTCTACTTGACGCAAATTGTGCGCATTTTTTTCCACAACGGAATCTCATGACAACATGCTGTGCGATGTCTAGTACTGCCGGTGTTTTGGTGGCTCTACAGCTGTCTCTGAACCCAGGGCACGGCAGCCTTGATTCAGGCCACCGTGGACATGACAGAATCGAGGGGCACTGGGCAGGATGGGCAAATGTCATTCGTACTTTGACACCATAACAACTCGTACACCACACAGTGTACATTGTACAAAACGTGTGCGGTAATTTGGAAACATAAAAAGATCACTGGGCAAAACTGATTAAAAAAAAACATAACCACTTTAGCATTTTAAAGTACACAATCAATTCCTGCCCCACCTGATGAAAAGATCACAACAATTGTATTCACATTGAACGTCCTCCTGGATTTGTGCAGTTCTTAATGCCACCAAAATTAATCAAACAGATTAGAAGGATGAACCACACACATTTTATGTAATTTGAATCCATTGCTCATCCTCATCAATATAGCAATAAGCCCATCACAAATCTCAGTAATTTGCACTGTATTGCTCTCCTTCTCACCACAAATACATCAGTAACACTGACTAGTGTTGTTAGCGTCAATTGGAACCTTGGAGAATGACTCTGGGTTGGGTCGCTAAACCTGATGCGCAAACACACAAAGACCTCTCTTTGAGCGAAAATGCCCCGGCAATCATTTTCTTCTTCAGGCTTAGCGGTGATTGCCATTTCAAAAACAAAGATTTTTTTGTTTTTGGTTCGTGGGGGAGTTTCTGTATTCAGCCACCAATAACGTTCATCGCACCAGTGATGGTTGCCTACTGCTGTTTTTGCTGAAGAATTAAAGTGAATGTGCTTCTCAAACCTAATCAAAGCATCAAAGTCACAACATGAGACTTGACTGAGCAAACCTTGACTTTAGCAACCCACGTGTTTGTCTTCTCGTGTCCTGCAGACGTCAGTGAAGAATATCTTCATCCTGAGCAGCAGGAATGGAGCTTCAGGAGGGAGACGCAGGAGTCAGAACAGCCCTACGTTAAAGAGGAAGAGCAAGAAGCTGCCATCACAGAATTTCCTTTTCCCAGGGTCATTGTGAAGAGTGAAGATGATGATGAGCAAGATGAGTGGCCGCTGCTTCGTCCCAGTCAAAGTGATGAGCAACATAAAAATCACCACGTGAGACTCGACTAAGCAAAGCTTGACTTGACCAAACCACGCCTGTTTGTCTTCTTGTGTCCTGCAGACATTGGCGAAGAAGATCTTTGTTCTGAGCGGCAGGAGATTAAAGAGGAAGAGCGGGAGACTCAGCTCACACAGTTTCCATTGGCTGGTATCATTGTGAAGATTGAAGGTGATGGCGAGGAAGAAAGTAATGGAGAGCACCGTGGAGGATCACAAAAAGATGGGCTCTTAGCTCCACTATCAGACTCTCCTGACACCGATGATGAACACTCTCCCGGTGATGCGGACACATATTGGAAATGCTCGCAGTGTGGCAAAGTATCCAGTTCAAAGTGGGGCTTGAAAATACACATGAGAACACACACCGGGGAGAAACCTTTTGCCTGCTCCATTTGTGGGAAACGATTCACTCAAAAGGGACATTTACGAGCACACACACGAACACACACTGGGGAGAAACCTTTTCCCTGCACAGTCTGCGGTCTTGTCTTGAGTCAAAAGGTAAATTTGACTAATCACATGAGAATACACACTGGGGAGAAGCCCTTTGCATGCTCGGTTTGTGGTAAAAGATTCTCTGTGAAGGGACATTTGAAAATCCATACAAGGACACACACTGGAGAGAAACCCTTTGTCTGCTCGGTTTGTGGTCAAACCTTCTCTCTCAAGGGACATTTGAGAACACACACAAGAACACACACTGGAGAGAAGCCTTATCCCTGCTCAGTATGTGGCAAAAGATTCTCTATCAAGGGACATCTAGTAGCACACACCAGAACGCATACCGGGGAGAGACCTTTTTCCTGCTCCGTGTGTGGTCTTCGATTAACTCAAAAGATTAGTTTAACCAATCACATGACCATTCACACAGGGGAGAAGCCTTACGAGTGCTCATTTTGCGGTAAAAAATTCTCAATAAAGGGACAGTTGATGACGCACACCAGAATACACACCGGTGAGAAACCTTTTGTCTGCTCCGTCTGCACCGTAAGTTTCAGTGATCGTTCGGGATTAGTCAAACACATGAGAACGCACACTGGGGAGAAACTGTACTCATGCTCATTTTGTGGCAAAAGTTTCTCTCAAAGATGCACTTTGACAATCCACACCAGGACACACACCGGTGAAAAGCCGTACAGTTGCGATGTTTGCGAGAAAAAATTCTCCCGTAAGGATCAGGTGAAGAAACACAAGTGTGTTGGTGAGAAGAGAAGCGATCAATGAAGTGTAAAGAAATGTTGAGTCTTTGCGATGAAGTGTCCAAGTCTTTCAAACAGTGAGTGTGTTCACTCGCTCTTCTCGAGGCCTCAATGCTGTTCAGATGAATTGTCATTGCTTTCTTTGGCCATGAGTCCTTCAACCATCCGTGTAATTTGTATTGAAAAGTGTGAGACACTTGACTTTCGTACAGAACCTCCGAATATGATTAAAAAACGGAGTCAGGAAAATGTGGCCGATTGAGGAATCATTTGTACTCTCTTAACAGCGTTACATGTCAGGTCACGTGCACGCACCTGTAGGAGACCTGCACCGCATGTTGGGAGTGATGTCTCACAGGTCATTTGCATACACAGTCGAGCTGTGCGATATAACGCCACACAATTTTAAAATGTCGGACTGCCCGACATGGTTTCTGTGGTGAGTTTGATGTGCAGATATTGTTAGCGCCGCTGATCTGAGACAGCTTGCTATGGTGACATCCTAATGCCTCGCCCGGCAAGCATGACCAGTCAACGCACTACTTCATCCAACTCTTGCATGAGTGTAACAGTTGGACTGAATCGAATTTGTATTTATTCCTTTATCAGTTTGATTGTTGTTGTATATAACGTGTGTTTTAGAAATAAACGGAGAAAGGTTCAGAGACAATTGCAATTCATTTCATGTCGTGACTGGGATTTGAAATGACATTGATCAGGCTATAAAATCTTGTCCATATCGCCCAGTGCTCGAACTCAGCGTGGCTCACAAATGGATTTCCAACTTGGAAACACATTATCAACAATCCACATCCGTTTTTTATATTGAATCAAATTTGCAAATGCACGCACACACACACACACACACACACACACACACACACACACACACACACACACACACACACACATACATCTAAAACAATGGCAACACCAGTTATAAATATACAGACAAAACATTTTCAACAACAAAAATGTATAAAATAATAATAAAATGCATTAAGCTCTAAATTATGTTGTTTGTCCTTAGAAACCACTCTAATGTCTTGTTCATCAACATAGAAACTACTTATACTGATGATTCGGTAAACTTTCACTTACCCTACAGTGGAGGGGCTCTGGCTCCTTTTCGGCTTTAATTTCCGAGGTCTTTAATAGCTGGGAGCTTTGGATCCTCTCCCTCTTTAATGTGAGGTGACACAGACTCGTGCTTCTCAAGATGGCGAGCTTCACCTAGGGCTGCAGGACAAGAAGTTTGGGAAAGTTAAAAAAACAAACCACTATATCCTAGAAAAAGACCCTCTTCGTGCGTTTTCTATTTGCATGCCCGTGCAAACAGGGCATGGGCAAGGGTGCGTGCGAGACATGTACAGACTGGGGAGTGTGCCCACCTGTGCGCAAGGAAATGATTGACATCCCCCGCCCACCAGTCGCACTTTCTGTCTCTACGGTCTACAGTCATTCAGTTATAAGAACTACACAAGTGAGAGAGTGAAATAACCTGATCTGCATTGGTGCATCTTGAAAGCAGCGTCCACTTCTGAGCGCTGTCGCTCGTTTCTTTCGTTTGTTCCGTAAATGTACTCCTCCCTCTTTCACACTTACTGTACACATTTTCACACGCTAGTCCTTGATCTAACGTGTCTCAAACTGAAAAAGCAAAGCTAAGGAAGCGAAGGAAGTTTCAACAAGCACCGACACGAGGTTATCCAGACGTGACGACATTCCAAATGATGTAACACGGCGTTTTTGTGACGACCGCACGGCGTCGAAAGTACAGTCTTAGGTTCAGTAATTTAGGACGAATTCTTGGAAGATGTACGGCACCCTCACTTGGACAAAACTCTCGGAACATTGTTCTGTACATCAAAGCGCTTTGAGAAAAGTGCAGCGGGGACGGCTGGGCATCAAATCGTCTCGTCGTTTCGGCCAAACAATGTGGCCCCCACTCGCGGTTCCTTATTATCCCTTCCTGTATTAATACGAACACTTTACACAGTCCGTTCTATCTCCGCTGCGATATGACGAGAACGAGTGACAATGTCAACAACTGGACTGAATAAGAACATCCACAAGCGTGCTGAACCCTGTATTCAAGAAGCCTCAAGTTGTTTTACGCAAAGAATGTTTGTTCTCGTCTTATGTCGTTTGATAAGTTATTACCTTTGGAATTTGGGTTAATTTTGAATGAAATTCTCATTCGCGTAGTCGAAAATCCGGGTGCTCTATGAAGTCATTGCTGCCGCCATTTTGAGTTTTGAGTCGAGATGGCGTCCAATACGCCGTGCCTACGTGGCGGCCATATTGGCAGGGGCCATTTTCCCATCAAAGGCAACGCATGGACTTTGATATTGAGTCGCAACGTGTCTGGCCCGTTTCGCAATCGATTTTCATTAGATTTACTTTGTTGTCTATGTAAAATGGTGTGCTTTCAATACAGAACATTTTTTTCCTATCTATGCAAGTTCCTGTGGCTGAGCATTAGTTATCATCTCTATCTCTTGAAATCACTTTTGAGCTTAGAATTTGCTACTTGAAACAAACACAAACTGTGTCAAGAATTCTTTGCTGCCACTAGTCTTTGCCTATAAAGAAACTTCTTGACTCTCATCCGGTGTGGAATATGCCTGTCAAAGGCTATATTGTCATTCTCTTCCAAAGATGGAGAGGCTAAGTGGAACTTGAATTTCGATATGTGAACAAAAACACAAAACCTAAATCAACACTTGCTGCAAGTCATGGAGAGGAAGCATTCTAATGCGCTTATAAACAAAATGTATTATTATTATTATTATTATTACGGAAAACCGACTACAAAATGCCTTACATATGCTGCTTTATCACTTGACATAAAGATACAGAGCAACAATTACTTTGTCAAACAAAGTAAAGATGAAGTCATACGATAAGGGTGACCTGAAATCTTTTGACTTTTATAATTTAAATAATACATTGAAGACAAAGGAAATTGTATATGCAACTCATTAAGAACATGCTTCACTAAATTAGTCAAAAATAAGTCAGGAGGGCCAATTCTGTCCTGGGCTGCTCCCTGGACACTCTGGAGGAGGTGGGCAACAGGAGGATGCTAGCTAAGCTAAAAGCTATGATGGACAGTCCTTCCCACCCCCTCCAGCCCGTCCTGACAGCACTAGGTAGCTCCTTCAGCCAGAGACTGTTACACCCGCGCTGCAAGAGAGAGAGATATCGCCGCTCGTTCCTACCCACTGCTGTCAGGCTGCTGAATAAAAAATAAAATGATGTGGAAAACAATTGTAATTAGCAAAGCCACCTTATCAATATCTTTATTTATATTTAATTGAATGGTGTACATCGAAACAGTAACATTCATTTTGTGAATGTGAAGACTTTGTTTTTCTTCTTTCTTCCCAATCTTGCTGCTGTAGACTGTAAATTTCCCCAATGTGGGACAAATAAAAGATATCTTATCTTATCTCATCTTATCTTATCTTAAATACTTCTGCTGAAAGGAGCTCAAGCCTTGTTTGACAAAGGCAGCACTACGTCTTGACTGGAACTCTCTCAAGGATTGCAGAACTTGATGTGCACACCACAGAGACAATCTCTTCACAATTTCATGCTGCTCTTCTCACCAGCACATTTGTGTCTTGTCAGCTGAAGCTTCACATGGAATCTTTTATCACAGATATTGCAACTGAACGGTTTCTCTCCAGTGTGTGTTCTCGTGTGTGTTGTCAAATATGACCTTTGAGTGAATCTTTTACCACAAATTGAGCATGAAAATTGCTTCTCCCCAGTGTGTGTTCTCATGTGTCGAACCAAGACTGAACCGTCACTGAAAGTTAAGGTGCAGACTGAGCATGCAAAAGGCTTCTCTCCAGTGTGGGTTCTTGTGTGGGTCTCTAAATGTCCCTTCTGTGTGAATCTTTTACTACAAACTGAGCAGGCAAAAGGTTTCTCTCCAGTGTGCGTTCTTGCATGTGTTCCCAATTGTCCCTTCTCAGTGAATTTTTTACCACAAACCAAGCAGGCAAAAGGTTTCTCTCCGGTGTGTATTCGCGTGTGTGCATTTAAATGTCCCTTGAGAGAAAACCTGTTCCCACAAATTGAGCATTCAAACAGTTTTTCACCAGTATGTGATTTCATATGTATCACGGACTCTGAGCGTTCAATGAAACTTATGTCGCAGACCGAGCAGGCAAGAGCTTTTTTTTCAGTTCGCATGTGTCTGTCTAACGATGACTTTTTGCCAAATGTTTTGTCACACTGAGAGTGAGAACATTTCACACGTTTGTTGCCAGCGTGACATGTGATGTCACCTTCAGAATCTTCATCTTCGTCAGTGTCAGAAGAGTGTGACGTTATGTCATCACTATCTGAAAGCGGAGCCAAAAGGCTGGCTGCTTGTGGTCCTCCACATTCTTTACCTTGTTCGTCATCCTCTCCATCATGATCATCTTCAGTCTTCACAATGACAGTCAACGGAAACTTGGTGATATCAGCCTCCTCTTCTTCATCTTTAATGTCGGGTGTCTTGGGCTCCTCTTCCTCTTTCGCATGGGGGACCTCTGGGTCCTGCTCAGGATGAAGATCTTTGCTTATATCTGCCGGCCACAGGAAGACAAGCATGGTTTAGTCAAGACAAATTTTGCTCAGATTTACATCACGGGATAAACTGCAATCTTGAGGCCATCCTTGTTTCTCGTCACATTCTCTTCTGAAGTCAGGTGCACAAAGGAAGACCTGAGCACAGTAGCCCATCCACAGGCTACCACAGACAAATTCCTCATGTGTTTTTTACATACTTGGCCAAAAAAGACGATTCGTATTGACAAAAAAAAAAAAGGAGAAAGGAGCACCCCCCACAAAAAAACACAGCGAACGTACCGAAAGCGTAGCATCATCTTGCAGTGAATATTGAATACCATAGTAAACCTTCGAAGAACTATTGTAAAAGAATGACGCTTGTGATTGAAAAAGCGAGAGGAGGAAAAGAACAAACCTGCTGTGTGTAACACAACTCGAGAATCACCGACTTGACGTTGACGCCCGTTCTCCGCTCTTGTTCCAAGTTCCCCCTCATACTCTTCTTTCACACTCCTCGCACACATTTCCGAGCAAAATCACAGCACGTGATGACGCTTGATCTCTGCTTAGCGATGTATTGACAACAAACGCATCTCTTTGTCTGCGGCTAGCACGCTAAAGTACGCTGAGCTCGCCGGATAAAACTCTACGTGCTCTGAGAAGAGTTTAGCGGAACACGACGATCAGTGAATGACGTTTTAAACCAGTTAAGTGTCGTCGCCTCAACACGTTCAGTGCAGATAATTACTAATTGTGAAAGCACCTTTGTTGACAGAAACAAATCCGACATTTAAGTTCATCTGCAGTATATATGTTGTACGGCAAATCCACTAGGACAAACTAGCAAAATGACTTATTGCCACTACTACACAGAGCTATAAAATGAACCGTGTCTCTCGGAACGGATAAATCCATTCGGCTGAGATCAGAGTTGTATTATGAATGTTGTGAGTATTTTTTTTAATTGTCATTATTATTATCATTATTGCACCACTGACGAAAAAAACATCAGCACAAAGTCACTGAGGGCGTCTCGGAACGGATAAATCCATTCGGCTGAGATCAGATTGTATTATGAATGTTGTAAGTATTTTTTTTAATTGTTATTATTATTATCATTATTGCTCCACTGACGAAAAAAAAACATCAGCACAAAGTCACTGAGGGCAGAGAAGAATATTAAAAAGCGGACACGAAGGGTTTTATTTTCGCGGTAATAGGTCAGCCGCATACTTGCTTCACACACCTTACCAGTAAATGGCAGTAATGCATCTGAAATACTGTATTCTCGCCGACCACCATAAAACTCCCTATGACGAAGAAGAAAAGAAGGAGGGGGAGGAGGAGGAGGAGGAGGAGGATGGAGAGGGGGAGGAGGGGGGAGGAGGAGGCAAAGGTGGAAGAAGAAGACGAATAAGCAGGAGAAAAACGAAGAAAAATGAAACAGCAACAGCAGCAAAGGGGGCGAAGAAGAAGAAAAGGAAGAAGAGCAAGAAGAAGAAGAAGAGGAAGGAGAGCAGCAAGAAGAAGAAGAAGAAGAAGAAGAAGGAGAAGAGGAAGAAAAAGAAAATAACTGTACAGTACACGTATTAGAAGATAAGGCGTTCACAATTACAGCACTTAACATGACTGCGGATAGGATGCGAGCAGTACGTTTCATGACTACTTAACGTGAGCAAAATATCGTTCAATAATACTGTAATTCTTCCTGTACGAGTAAACTCTTCTCAATTTACCTTGACACGCTTCTCCGGTTAAGTTAATTTGGCGTAGATCGCTAAAAAAATTGTTTGGTGTCAAATTACCTGTTGCGATGGATGACAAATAACGTCGCCGTTGTTAGTAATGGCAGGTCAGCGAAAGGACACAACAGCTAATCGTTCTTTTGAAGATTGTATTTATCCAAAGACGGATGGCTGTTGAGATGATTCGAGCGACGATGCCGCAGCTACGTGTTAACTTTTATTTCTTGAATATTTGTTTCTCAGGTCGACTTGGAAGGCCTTTCCACGCGCCGTTGCAATAAGAGCCAGCGCAAATTGCGGCGGGGACCGGAGTCGCGGCAGCCCTGACGTCACGCCCACTTAGGCCGCGATATATCGCGGTATGTCGGAACCGCTGCCTCCAGAATGCGTCGCTCCAAGCACCCGCCTTTGCATTCCCTCGTTCCCTCGAAGATGTCGCGACCCCATTTGAACTGCCGTTTCTCATTCCATGACATTGTACGTGTTTATAACAGGGTTCTTTTTGTCCTTATGTGTTTATACACGACTTATCTTTGTTAGTGCTCAATATGTACTCATAGAATCTATAAATGCGTACATACAACCATTGATATGATTGATTTTTGACGTATATGATGCTTTACACCAGTATTGCTATAATATTTCCATTTCCCTGGTGGATATCAGTTGGTGAGTTTGTACTTAGACTTAATGGACTGCTGAAGGAACATAAATGGAATTTTTCAACTGCCTACATATAAACCTGCCCCCCCCCCCGCCGAAAAAAACAAAAAAAATTTAAAAAAACAAACGTCCTTCGTTAAAGC